AACTCATAGTCCTGGTGCTGGGCCTGGGTAGTTGCAGGGTTGGTGAGCCTGCCAGCTGTCTCCCATCCTCACCACCAGGGTAAGCTCTCCGTCATTGGCCCTGCTTGTTCATCCTAGGCAGTAAGCAGCAAGGCGGGTCCAGTTTTCCAGCTTTCACACCCTCAGAGTTGGCTTTTCCACACTTACACCATCAAAGTCAGCTCTACTGCGCTACTTAGGGTAGGTGCAGGGGCCTTTCTTCCGAGTACTGGGGCAGGGACAATTCTCCCACTATATGACCTCAGGGCCAGCTCTCCCACCTGGCATAGGCAGTGAGGGGTAGGGGTGGAGCTTGGGAGGGGGCATCTGAAAGTCCTGAGTTAATTTGTCTTTTTTGTTTTTTAACAAAAGTTCAGATTCTCTATCAGATCTATAAAATGGAACTCTACATTAAAATGGTTTTCAAACCTCTTGCCACTGAAAAGTTATCATTTACATTGTGTATAAAAGTATCCATCTTGTATTCTAAGATACTTTTCCTAGATGCATTAATTTTAAATGTTTTTGGTAATTAAGTATATGTAGAAAGCCTATCATCTTGACAGCATTCAAGCACTTTCTTAGCTGTCACATAATGTATGCTTGGAGTACTTTCTAAGACCAAGCATTCTAAATGATTTGGCATGAGAGATCCAGTTCAAAGCAATAGTTACTCACTCCAAGCCTTTAACCACAGGCTGCAGCAGCCACTTTGGATATTAAATGGTGTGGGTAGCATGCACTTGTTTTGAGGGTCACTTGACAATCCTTTATCTGAAGTGCATGGGAACTGTGTATTTTGTTCTTCAGACATTTTAAGAACTGTGTTATAGCAAATAGTCTCCGGATTATTGAAAACCCTGATGGAGCTAGGGTAGTCCCTTACAATAAAATACGCTGCAAGCTTTGCACAATATGTGAAACTTCACAGTAAATAGGGCAAATGTGTTTAGTGTAGGTTTGCCACCAAACAATTTCATCTTAGTTGGGTTTGCTCACCATACTGATAATGAATTAAGCCTTATTTCCAAAAAGTTTCATTATGCGAAGTAGCTCTGCTAGTCACTGGCTGTTAGATCTTTTTTGTTCTACTGAATCTTAGGCATTCCAAATGCTAAAAGGAGAAGCTGGACCAAGTCAATTGTTTGTACAGTTTCCAAATTCTAAATCTGAATGTCTACTCAGTTCTTTGACATAAAAAACACCACAAGTGAATCCATTTTTCGTAATGCCCAAATTTAATCATTCCTTAGAAGTATACAATAGTATTGAAGAGCAAGTAATTATTTCAAAAGCTTCAAGAATGTGTGAATTCTGTATGGTTGGGCCAAGCTAGATTTCAAGTTCCTGAAAACAAATTGGCTTTTGCTCACTGTAGAATGTAGTCTTTCTTTGACAGTTGCCTGGGCCCTGCCATATCATCTGAACCCCCAAATAACTCACAGGACACTATATTAATTATAAAGCTGTTGGCTGTTTGCTTGGTTTCTTACTGGCTAGCTCTGACTTAAGTATGTAACACATAATTGTTAATCTAAGTATTTCTCTTACCGGAGAAAGGGTCCAGACCTCTTGCTCCCCTGATGGCTAAATCGTGTCTATCTCTGCCTCTCTTTCCCAGAATCCTCCTTGACTCCTAGTCCCACCTATCTTGCTTCCCTATTGACCAACAGTGCTTTATTCAACAACCAATAAGAGACAGATTTACAAAATGACATCTCCCATCAGCTTACATTATTGATTTCTAGAGGTCATCCTAGGGTGAGATTTTTATACCCATATTTAAAATTTGGGGCTGGAAAGATGGCTCAACATGTAAGGACACTTGTTGCCAAGCCTGTTGACCTAAGTTTTATCCTTGTAACTTACATGGTGGAAGGAGAGAAGCAACTCTGTAAGTCTGATTTCCACATGTGTATCATGGCACACACATGCTCACTAATGCATACACACATATGCATGCACACACACACACACACGCACGCACATAAGCAAGTAAATAAATAAAAGTAAAGATTAGTAAAACTATGTGTAGGTGGTAATTTACACTGGGTAGTTTTTATGTTTTTCCTTGGAAAACCAGGAGACCAGGTTATACAAAGCCAGGCTTTATACAAAACCAGGCACACATAAACCGATGTGACTGACAGGGAAGTGGAAAGACTCATTTTGTTTAAGATCCTGAAGCTTTGGATGTCAATGCCAAGAAGAAGGAATTCCAACTCTAAAGGGGTGGAGCTATCCATTGGGAAAAACTAATCTATGAACCAGAGGACTAGTGGGGTCTCCTAGATAAAGACTTAAGACAAGGAATTTAGATGGAAGAATGCAGCGAAAACATAGACAAGGCATGGGAAGCCAGAACTGAGAGCCTCAGGTAGGTGTGATGAGGATACTTGCTTCTTTATGTGCCTGGCACCTGTATTGTAACACGAAAAGAAGTATGTGTTTGTCGTTTGGCATGGAATTCTCTTCCATCTTCTTCCATTTCCTCTGGTCTTGCTCCTGATTGCTTCCTTCACTTAACTTGCCCAATGGGCCTAAACGACATCTATCTGTCTGTAAGCTGCACTGTTTGAACACATTAAAATAAATAAAATGTCATGCTAGGAAAAGGGGAGATACTGTATACTTAGAAATTATTAACCTTCTTCTGAGTTTTGAAGGCATCCAGAAACTTTTTATTCATGTCCTTAAATAGAACTTGTTGAACACTTAGTATGCTTTATGTAAGCTCTGTTAAGTTTTATTTCTGTGATTAAGAGCATGACCAAAAGGGAGGAAAGGTTGATTTATCTTGCAGGGCTCCAGCCTATCATCTAGGAAACTTAGGGCAGGAACTCAAGGCAGAAACCTGGAGACAAGAACTGTTTACTGTCTTTCTCCCCCTGGCTTGCTCAGCTAGTTTTCTTATACCACTAAGGACCACCTGCCCAAAGGTGACACCACCCACAATGAGCTGGACCCTCCCACATCAATCACTAATCACAATTTCTCCGCAGAGGTTCCTCTTCCCAAATGACTCTAGCTTGTGTCAAGTTGACAAAAAATTATCAAGGATGATATCTTCTTGTTGCTGCGATAGAATGTCTCACAAAAGCAAGGGTTTGTTTCGGCTCAGCGTTTGAGGGTATATTCCGTCATGGAGAGAGAAGGCATGGAAGCAGGAATATGAGGCAGGTGTCTGGTCATCTGTGTCTACAACCAGAAAGCAGACGAATGAATGCTGGTGCTCACACTCCACCCTTTCCTTTTTAGTCAGTGTGGGAGTGTGGCCCATGGAATGGTGCCTCCCATATCTTCCCTCCTCAGTTAAACTTCTCTGGAAGCTTTCTCCAGAGGTGTGTCTCCTAGGTCATTCTGAATTCAACCAAGTTGGCAGTGAAGAGCGACCATTACAAGAAGCAAGTGGAAATGCGATGTAGTCACCATGTTGATCGAGGGAGACAAGCATCTAACTAGTAATTATGTAAAGGTGATGACAGTTAGACGTTATTGTGGAAGAGACAGGAACAGGATAGGGGCAGCAAGAGGTGTTCTCTAATTCTGATGGAGAGGTGTGGCTATGTCATTCAAGCAGAGGTGGCTTGATTCTTACAGTGCCGGTAGAACCGAGCAGATAGGATGTGACTTTCAGAAGAAGCTCATTGGCTGAGATGGGAGTGTGAGCAGAGAGCAGCCTTAGCGAGGGGCGCCAGTGTTATTAAAGCCTTAAAAACACAGTGTTTGTGGTTGATGACCCATTAGAAATTGCACACTAGAGCGTATAACCTTATTCACAATGCCGGTGGGCAATTTACACAGGGTATATTGGCAGGGTTTTCAAAAAGTCATGGACCTTTGCTATTTTCTCCTCCCTTTAAGATTTAGGGTTACTCTAAACACCAGTAGATGTGAGTAGCTTTCCCTACTGTATGTGGAACAAAATTTTATGAAATGAGGGTGCAATAACTCAATCCCATTTAATTAACCTGTCTGCCGTGGAGGTGAGCTTTCTGAGAGACATGTCTGCTCACTTCAGACATGGGTTCTCAGGAAGCAGGTTCTGAGGCAGATTTGGGGGTGCAAGGTGTTTCTCATGACCCACACCCGTGAAAAGAGTGCGGGGGTGGGGGAAGTGAGCCAGGATGGAGCAAGTGAAAACTAAGGCAACAGGAAGCCGTTTTCCTCATGAGAGCATCAGGTGTTGGATCCAGCTTGCTTAATAACCTGTGTTGCTCAGTCAGTGGTCAGGGCTGTCTGTCCCCAGAAAGGTGTACCTTTAGACAAGGCTGTTTTCTGCAGCCAAGTCCAAGACTGGGGGAGGTGACAGCAGAGGCTGCCTGCAGATCAAGTTTCCACAGCAGTAAGTCACTCCTTGAAAGGGCTGAGGGCATGGTTGGTACGTTCTCAGCACTATTGCAGTGAAAGTGAAGAACTCATTCTTCAACTGATGTGTTTTCCCAGAAATTCAAGGCACATGTCCCTCCCTAATCATCGAGTATTCATCTGTCAGAGAAACCTCATGAAGGAGCATTAAGAGGGAAAAGAGTAGGGGTGACCAAGAACAAGACCGACACAGAAGGGGGCGTAGGAAGAGGGACGAGTCGATAGTGCTGGTCACACAAGTAGGGGGACCCAGTTAGATCATTAGTTCTGTACAAAAGCTTGGTATGGTGGGGTGTGCTTGATTTCAGCACCGGGAAGGCAGAGACAGGCTGGTCAGTAGGTGCCAGGCTCCCATGGGAGATTCTGTTTAAACAAAAAGCACGGAGGTTGGCTCTTGAGAAATGACATCAGACGTTGACCTCTCACTGGTACACGTACATACATGTGAACCCTCACTAGGTGCACACACAGATGAGTGGCATAAAACATGTCTGGAATATAGAGTTATGACAGCCACTCCTGGTTTTCACTTTTGAAAATAATGAGCCAACACATCTCTAAAAATATTAGGAAATCAGTCTGTGAAATGTAAACAGTCTCTTGTGCCTTGACAGGTACAGAAAGCATGAACAAAAGGGATTGGCCGTTCATGATGATTCAGAGAAATGACAGCTCAGGTATTTTTTCACCGTCTTCCATCTGTCCTTTTGATATATAGTATATTGTGCAGTTGAAAAAGAAACAAAATTAGAATGCTGATTTCTAAAATTTTAATAAGGAAAACTGGTTTTGCTTACACTGAATGACTGACCTATCCTGTTTTAGTCACAGCTGTGACCAGGACACTGTTACCTTCTTCTGATATGTTTTTCCTGAAGACATTTGGGATTCTCTTATAGCAGATATTACTTATTCATATTGATGCAAACACGCACTTTTGTTAGAATTATTTGGGTTATTGTGATTTATGCCTTGGCCTTAGTGGACCTCTTCCTGCAATTTATCAAAAAAAGTTAATATACTAAATTAGGATATTTATGTCTTAGGCGGCGAGTACACAAATATTTATGTAGTTAGAATCTTATTTGAGTTATTGCATATTTAGTTTAGCATTAGTTAAAAAGTCTTTTCCCAAATTTAACTATTTGAGTTAGAAATTCATTGGTGCTTCAGTGTCTACTTGCGTAGTTTCATTAGTAGAGATGTGATGCTCAAATATTTACTGTTAATACAGAACATATTTTTAAATGTCTGAAATGCAAGTAGACTGAGTAGCATCATAGTTTCTGGCACTGGCAACTTTCTGTCTACCACACACAGAACATTGGAAGCCATGCTCTACAAGGAATGCAGCACCCAGCTTCTAAGAGCTTCTAGACACAGAGTATCAAGTACGTCATGACTGCTGTAACCATCTTTTGTTTGCTTTTAAAAATAAAAACGTGATCTAACCTCAATATTTTCCCCCTAAATTTTGAGTTTGAATGATGTGACACTATTTCTCTATCATTTTTTTCTGTTTTCACAAAAAACCCCAGATAACCAGGCGTTCCATATGAAAAACGGGATGAGAAACTTCAGGTATAAGCCAGCAGACTACCAACAGTTATATGCCTTAACCAGAGCCAGGAAGCTAGCGTCTGCTTCCACAGAGAACAAGGTTAGAGGCTTCTTCTTCTTTTTTTTTTAACTTTGGTAAATTGAATTGCTAGGAGGGATGATAGTATTTATGTTGAAAATAGAAAATAAGCGACCGTGCAAGTAGTTATTAGAACCTCCAACTACTAATGATAGTGAGCAGCAGCTAACATCCATTGGATGTCCTGACAGCGATGCGTTGTAATTTAGATGCACTACAAATTCTTATTATGAAGTCTGTATCCAACTTTATTTTTTGGAAAGATGGTTATTTCCTTAGCTTTCAACAATTTTCAACTTGGTAGGAAAAGTAAAATATTCTGACAAGCCATGGTTTATTTCTCAATCTCGTGCTCTTTCTCCATATAAATATACCCATGGCGACTAGTGGGGGAAAGGTGTCTGTTGCCAGCCCTGACTATCTGAGTTCAATACCCAGGACCCACATGGTGAAAGGAGAGAGCCAACTCTTTAAAGTTGTCCTCTGACTTCATGTGCATGTGGTGGCTGGCACGTGTGTCCACCATACATACACACAAAATAAATATGCTCTTGAGTATTTTGTATTATAGAATTTTATTTATTTTCCCTGGAATATGTGTCTAGTGCCATGAAAAGGATAACCTTGACTAAATCTGAAGGGGTCATGCGCAAATGATCATGCATATATTTTAGAGCTATGAATCTCTGAGGATTACTCATATGGTGTATTTCTCTTGTGCAAAGAATAGAGTTCATTAAAAATAGCATTTTGTGTGTTGTTGCTTGGTTGCATTGAAAAACCTGGTGAAGCAGGCTTCCATTTATATGTAAAGTTTTAGAGTTTGGATGGTTTTGTGTGTCTTTTATTATTAAGATTGATCTTTTAAAAAGGCAATTCTTCCAAATGCAAAGCACATGTAATACCTTAGTTTAGAGAAATGACATATCTTCATCAGCTTTATCACTGCAAACTGAGGCAGGCACTTAACAAAGTAGGGCAGGGTTTGCTTGATCAGGTTTGAGTGTAAATTATTGTCATTGTAAAAAGACAATTCAGGGGCTGGAGAGATGGCTCAGTGGTTAAGAGCAGTGGCATCCCCTCCAGAGGACCTTGGTTTGATTTCCAGCAGCTTACAGCTGTCTATAAACTCCTGTTCCAAAGGATCCAATGCTCTTCTCTGGTCCCACAGGTGTTGTACGAAAGTGGTGCATAGACATGCATGTAAGCAAAGCATCCATACACACAAAATTGAAATAGATGAATCTTAAAAAAAGAAGACATTTCCATGTAATTTCACAGAAAAGTCCCATGACTGTCTTCCTGGAAGAGTTGCCTGTGGTTTGTGTTCTGAGACTTCACATAGTTAAAATATGCACATGCACACACACACACACACACTCATTCATCCATCCATCTATGCATGCATACTTACATATTTTATACGCATTTTATTATCATCCACTATAAGAATGACTATGAAATCCAATATGTATTTGTTTCCTCTTAATGCTTTATAACGTTGTTTTTGTATTATTTCCTATATTAGTTAGTCACCACAGACCATAAAAGTTTAGGCTTTGTCTCCTTTCTAGCTCTACTCCCTTACCCTTGGTGGCAGGCACGGTTTGCTGGTTTGCCTGTTAAATAAACCAGGGAATAAAATAATGTTAAATACAAACCACAATAAAAACATGTTTCTCGTTGTATAGTAACTAGACCTGGTCCTGAAGGAATGGTTAGGAAAATTTATTTTTCATTTTACATACCAACCCCAGTTCCCCCTCCCTCCCCTCCTTCTGCCCCCTCCCCTCTTCCGGCTTCCCATCTCCCATCCACTCCTCAGAGGGGGTAAAGAGGAAAAGACCCTTTTTAAAGGAAACATCACTGGACTTGAGATCTCAAGGTCAATTAAACATTAACTAAGCAGAGGCAGGAACACCCCAGTGTGTAAAGTGCTTGCCACACACACGTGAGAAGCTGTAGGAGTCCCAGCCCTCAGAAGCCACTCAACAGCAGATGTACCTCCTGTACTTGTAATCCCAGCCCTTTTACAGCAAGATGGGAGGGAAAAAAGAGAATTATCTTTTTTGTTGCTTTTTAAAATTATTATTATTTTTACATTCCAACTCCAGTTCCCCCTCCCTCTGCTTCTCCCATATCCCCATCTCTCCCCATCCCACTCCCCATCTACTCCTCAGAGGGGATAAGGCCTTCCTTGGGAGTCAACCAAGTCTGAGATACCAAGTTGAGGCAGGACCAAGTCCCTCCCCACTGTATCAAGGCTAAGCAAGATATCCCACCATAGGGAATGCGCTCCAAAAAGCCAGTTCATGTACCGGGATAAGTCCTGGTCACACTGCCAGCCCTCCTCCCCCCAAACAGATCAAGGCACATTCAGAGGGCCTCGTTGGGTCCCATGCAGGTTGCCCAGATGTCAGTCCAGAGTCCATGAGCTACTGCTAGCTCAGTTGGGTCTGCTGCCTCTGTGGTTTTCCCCAATGATCTTGATCCCCCCTTGTTCATATGATCTGTCCTCCCTTCTCTTTAACTGAACTCCAGGAGCTAAGCCCAATGCTTGACTGTGGGTCGCTGCATCTGCTTCCACCAGTTACTGAATTCTGTTCTATGATGGGAGTTAGGGCAGTCACTAATCTTATTACAGAGGAAGGTCAGTTCAGGCATCCTCTCCACTATTGCTAGGAGTCTTAGCTGGGGTCATCTTTGTAGATTCCTAGGCGTTTCCCTAGCACTCGGTTTCTCCCTAACCCCATAGTGGCTTCCTCTATCGTGATATCTCTTTCTTTGCTCTCCCTCTCAATCCCTCCCTCAACTTGTCCATCTTGATTCCTCATAATACAAGGAAGTGTCTGTCCTTTTACAGCTTTGGTGTCTCATCAGTTGTTTTGCAATGTTGGTTAGTGAGAAGGAACGTGTTTTGAGAACTGCGACGTAACTTTCTAATACTTTGATATTTCTTCATGTAATTTACATTTTATTATATCTGCATTAAGGAAGATGTATTAGGAATTGTACATGAATTCTGAAACTTTTTTCTTCTCATTAAACTTAGAGAATTTACATTGACATTTTGCTTTAATTTACTTTCTAAGACGAAAATAATTTCTAAATAATGTTTCGTTAAAAGACTCTGAGTTTAAATAGAATTAAATAGCTGGGAATTAAATAAGGCTTTTAAAATCTATTTTAGCATTATAGATGTTTATATGCCAAACAGTCTGTACTAACTAGAATTACCAATGCTATCTCTGTTAATCTTGATTATATTATTACTTACATTTTAATAAAATATGCACAGGCTCAAAGAGTAATTGTGTCTAATGTCATATAACTAGCAACTCACTCTGCATATTTGCATTGTGTCTATTTTCCTGTCCATTTCACTACTGTATGCATTCAGTTTTTACAGATGAGATGAACAGTCTTCACAGCTATTGTTAATGGTCACAGCACTTTGCTCTGGCACTACTAAATAGACACAGAATGATAGGATGTTGACATGTAGACCCAGAAGTAAAGATGGCACCTCAAGCTAGATCTGGACAGCTCAGCTGCCTGCCAGGGTGTCATTACTGACACAGGGGTGTGGGGTAGGTGTGTTACTGCTCTATATAGCCCCTGTATAGCATGATGAATTTCTGATGCCAGGTGAGACTCTGAGGTAAGCGTCAAGCTGCCCAAAGACCAATCTCTAATCTGAAGCTGCATAGTAGACCTGGGCTGGAAACCGGAGGTCAGTTTGTGGTACACTGTGTTTACATTTGTGATTTATTAGTTTAAAACAACCTTCATGATGATTTTGATTTGACCTTCTTTGCTTCAAATGGATGTATCTTCTTTTTTGTTTGTTTGTTTTGTAAAACAGGGTTTCTCTGTAGCATCGGAGGCTGTCCTGGAACTCACTCTGTAAACCAGGCTGGCCTTGAACTCACAGAGATCTGCCTGCTTCTGCATCCAGAGTGCTGGGGTTAAAAGCGTGCTCCACCACTGTCTGTGGATGTATCTTCTTGCTTAATTCAGTTATCTTTCCATTAATTCAGATGTCTTTCCATCTTTCTAACCTTATAGAAAATTGCACACATGAATACAATTAGTTTGGATGGTATGAGTCACCATGTGTCATTTTCCAGCTTTGGCCTTGGCTTTGTTTATGTTGCTATCACACCCTCTCCCATGCTAAACTCTCTTGAAGCAAATCATTGATGTCATAATATTTCATGTGTAAACATTTAGTATATTACTCTAAAACATTATAACTTAAAAGCCCTGACATACCACCATCACACATGAAAGTATTAACTTTTCAATAATTTGTTTCCCCTAGTTAGTACTATTAAATTTCCTTGATTGCCTCAGAAGATTATTTCAAAATTTACTCAAATAGGCATCTGCATACCATGTAGCCATTGCGATTCATTTTTGTAATTTTGCTTCATCTTGTGCCCTCCATTGTCTTGTAGTTTTATTATTTATATGTCTTGAAGAAGCCACATTATTGGTCGTATAGTTCCTCACAGTTTGAATTATGCCAACTTCATCATTAGTGTGTCATTAAACAACATTCTCTTTGCATTTCCTGTATGTTGATAGTTACATCTAGAGAACTAGTCAGATTTGGGTTTGATTTGCAGTGGAAAGAACAGTTCCTGATGGATTTTTTTGTTGTTGTTGTTCTCCAGTCTTTTTCTATTGTAGGCAATGCTGCAGTGAATAATTTGTACACTTTTTTTGTTGTTTTTGAGACAGGATTTCTCTGTAGCTTTGGAGCCTGTCCTGGAGCTCGCTCTGTACACTAGGCTGGTACACTTTTGCCAAGATGGTTTTCGAATCTATTTCTATAAATGATGTTGCTAGGTCATAGTTAATCAATGCAAACATCTTATGTGTAGCCATATTCCCTTCCGTGGGGCTTGTATCGTTTTCTCTTCCCATTAGAGTGTAAGAGGGGCATGCTTCAGAGCCTTGTGGACTGCTTTGTTAAATACCCGAGTCCCTGCCAGCCTGACAGATGAGGAACTGCATCTTAGGGTAGCTTTGTCCTTTGTGCTATGTTGACAGTTCTTTATTGCTAGAGCTCACATCACATCCCAGTGAGTTTTGTCAAATGTGTAATCACATGCACTGTAGCTTCAGCTGCACACTGCCTGCAGATGGTTAGTTCTGAACTTGGACTCTCTGACCTATAGGTCTCCTGCAGTATTGCAAAAGGGCTTTCATATCTTAGACAATCAGAATAAACCAGATGCAGTAGACTTTTGTTTTCTGATCTTTTAATGAATTAATTATTTTTGACATATTTATTCAAACTATCTTAAATCATCAGCATTCTGCCTTAGCTATCACACACCTTAAAATATTTTTACATGGCTTATTGCCCAGTAATACTAGAATCACCTAGCAATATCAACTGATGAAGATACGACTTTAAATCTTTTAAAGGCTTTGTTTTTCTTCATTTGTGGCCTGAGGATAAAAGTAGAGTCAAAGGCTGAATTTCCAAAAGAACAAAACAAAAAACAAAAATTAAGATGTTGTACAAACTATTGGAAATGTCTAGTGAAAAATAGTAGCTTGATTTTTGACTTTTATAGTCTATTTAATTGGTCTTTCCCTGGGCCTAAAGGCACCAACATTGATTTTTTTCCTTATGCTGTAAAAAATATGTTCACATCTTCTACCAATGTGTTTTAATTTTTTTGTACAACATAGACCAAATATATCAAAGGAATCTAATTTTAAAGTTGTGTCTGTTGCAATAAACTTTAGAGATTGTAGATGCTAAAAATTTGAAATAAGTTTTAGACATTCTTAACTCAAGTGCTAGTGTGTCAGAATGTAGAAATACTCCATTCTTTTATTTTTTTAGTAGGTAGAAACTGTGTTTTTACCAGTGTCTCCTATTGAATTTTTCCTTAAACTTCATAATTATAACATTCTTAAGAACTTCTGTGGAAAAGGTTTGACTTCATCTTTTTTAAGTCACTCTTTGGATTAATTTGTTTGCTCATGTTCCTAATTTTGAATCAGAAACCAGAACAGCACAAAGATAAACTCAAGGTTAAAGTAATCAGTGAACAGCAGCTGGAAATAGCATGCATTATGAGATCCCTTTTTGGAACTTGTCTTCTCAAGTTTTTAATATCTTCATTATTGATATTTTACAGCTATTAAAGTACTGAAGTAGTTAGTAGCAGAGAAATTAGGAAATATGCATATTTTTGTCAAGTCTCTGATCTGTATTTTCTGTTTTAAAGGTTTACTCATTTTATTTTGTAATTGTGTGTATATGTGTGTCTGTGTGGGTTTGTGCATACAGAGGCCAGAAGAGGTTGTCAGATCCCCTGGAGCTGGAGTTACAGGAGATTATGAGGGAATCACACCCGAGTCCTCCTTAAGAGCAGCCCCTCTTAACCAACAAGGCATCTCTCCAGCTTTGATTTGTACGTTCATACATTTCTAAAAGTGTCAACATGAAATACAAAGTTCAGAGCACACAAAATAGAGTCTAAAATAAGAATCAGACACTGCTGGGGGATTGAAGTCCAGCAGCATTCAGTGTTGGAAGATAGTCACGCACATGGTAGAGCTACAGGGCTAAGAAGGGGGCGGGGTGTGAGGCAACATAGATGTCAACAGCCGCTGAAGTCACTGCCACCCTCAGGATGGAGAGGTGAGACAAAGCAGTGGGGTGGTACCACATCTCATGGAAGGAAACCTCACAGCTGTTGGGTACCATGCCCATGGAAAGTGGGTGCACTGGAGAACTCGAGAACCTTTTTGTAGTGATATCTTGTTTATACTTGAATATCACTTGCCTGAAGATCAGAGGGTGCAGCTAGCCACTAGCTAATCATAGAGGTCTGGAGGTCTGTACAGACAGACAGGAAGTGATATGGCTGGACGGAAAGAGGAAGTGATAAGGCCGGAGGAGACAGGAGCTCAATGTCTTTTCAGCTGGGAAGCAGAGGAGGTAAGGTGGCTGTGGTTTTGCTCCTTTGTCTCTCTGACCTCTCAGCATTAACACGCTTATATCTGACTCTGAGCTTTTATTACTAAGACCAACTAGAACTGGTGCTACACCTTCTGCAATGCTTTAGGAGGAGGGTGATGATATTTTGACTTGTCTCCTTCCCTCCAAACTTCCATAGCTGGCATCTTTCTTTGTCTGAACCCATCTAGAAGCCAGCCGAAAGGGGCATGTGAGGAAGAGGCTGCATTATGCCTGGGCACAGACCAGGGAGATGGCAACAGACCCACGCCTGACGGAAGTTGACTTCAAAGTCCCCAAGCACTTGTTAAAAGACCATGGAACTTGGAGGACACTACATTTAGTTGAACAATTACCTTTCCCTCTTCCATAATCTTTCAATATTTCTTTATTAAGTACCTTATGATAACTATCTGCCTAAGTCTGAAAGGTTTATTTATAAAGCTGTGAAGTTGAATGATTGCAATTACACATTCCAGGTCCTGTTCTTGAGTACTGAAGCTGGGACTGAAGCCAGGGGATGTGGAATGTCCTGTATATTGCAAATATATGTTGTTTTTATTGGTTGATGAAGAAAGCTGATTTGGCCAATGGCCAGGCAAAATATAGCCAGGTGGAAAATCCAAACAAAGATACGGAATGAGAGAAGGTGGAGTCAGAGATACCATGTAGCCGCCAGGGAAGCAAGATGTGAGGTAGCAAATATGGAATATTAGGAAAGGGTTAGTTTATATGTAGAGCTAGCCAGTAAGAAGCCTGAGCCATTGGCCAAACAATCATAATTAATATTAACCCTCTGAGTGTTTACTCGGGAACTGGTGGGTGGGAGAAAAGCCTCCATTTATAGCCAGGTCCCCTAACAACAGTTTTAATGAACCTTTCCCATCTTACGATGAGGGTTCAGATTGAATCCAGCCTAACACCAAGGGCCTACAGGTGTGGTATTTACAAACGTTAAGACTTTGGCTACATCTTGGAACCAAATTCTCTGTCCTTTTGGCACCCTCATGTATAAAATGGGAATAATGCAACCTAAATACCTTTCAGAGAACATTCAAAATGGGGACAAATGTGTGGGAACTCCTGAAGACATCCTTGGGAATGAGGTGGGGGTATTCCTTACTTAATAAAAACAGAATGGCACTACTGGACGGAGGGTTCAGCATTTAAGACCACTTGCTGCTATGCCAGGTGACCTGGGTTTGACTTCCAGGACCTATATGGTGACGAACAACCATCAGTAACTCCAGTTCTAGGGGATCTGACATCCTCTTTGGGCCTCTGTGGACTTGTGGTGCCTAGACATAAATGCAGGCAAGACACCCATACACATAAAGTAACAAGAAATAAATATAAAAAAATAAGCAAAAAAGCAAACAAAAATAAAAAACCCACAGCAACTCACCTTTTTTTGCGTACTAAAACAGGGTTTGCAAATTGACCAGTATCTGAAGCTATCTTGTCTTTCTTTTGATTGATATTTTGCTTTTTGAGACAGTCTCAAATTCTCTGTTTAGCTAAGGCTAGCCTTGAATTCATGTTTCGCCTGCCTCCATGACCTGAGGGCTGGGATTATTGGCATGCACCACTGGTGTACAGCTCTCTTCTCCCTGATATTTAATTCAGTGCTTATTTTAAGTGGGTTGTGTGTTAGAAGATGTACCGGCGATGACTGTAAAAACAGGAAACCTTCCTTTTGTGCAAATAGGTTTTTAAAAATACAGTATTTTCAGTAATTCTCATGCATGTATTTTGAGCATGTTCACCCCTTTACTCCCCCCTCCCCAACTTTCCCCCCGGATCTGAGAAAAAACTTGTTTTTAAAAGCTCCATCATTGCTATTCTTTTGTTCATCCTCTAAATGCAGATCAGAAAAGCTGTGGAGACTTCAAAGGCAGCTAAAGAACAAATGTTGATCAAACAGCACAAGCAAGTGTGGTGGCAGGAACAGGAGAGGCTGCAGGGAATCAGGTGAGACTGGGGATCCCCTCCCCAGGTCAGTGGGAATGTGTGAGAACTCCTGCGTGTTCTCATGATCGACTTGCATCAGTAATGGCCCATGCTAGTTAAGCCACACAATTAAAATTTAGAGTTGTTGAAACTGGGGTCACATTCTCTTAGTTTACTCTAGAAGGCAGGGAGTCTTCAGATCCGTGTTCGCTTCCTGGCGTGGGGTTAAGGGAGGACTCCCACCCATGTTCGCTTCCTGGCGTGGGGTTACGGGAGGACTCCCTCCCGTGTTTGCTTCCTGGCGTGGGGTTAAGGGAGGGCTCCCACCCATGTTCGCTTCCTGGCGTGGGGTAAAGGGAGGACTCCTCTGCTTGCCACACATGTTCGCTTCCTGGCATGCGGTAAAGGGAGGACTCCTCTGCCTGCCACCCGTGTTCGCTTCCTGGTGTGGGGTAAAGGGAGGACTCCCACCCGTGTTCACTTCCTGGTGTGGGGTAAAGGGAGGACTCCTCTGCTTGCCATTCTCCCTTTTGTACTCCCCATCCCTGGCGTGGCCCTGTGAATGTACGCATCACATGCTCCTGTTTGACTTGCATGCTTCTTCCCTATAAAACAGAGACTCCTCGGGGGCAGACATCACAGTCATCTTTTCACAGTGGGTACCCAGAAGAGGATTAATTGATGCTCTCAGTACAAAGGAGCTCTCCTTGTTGGCTTGATATTGCACCAGGACTCACTCGGTTTTGATCTGGGTCCTGTTACTATTTGTAGCAGTCAAAGATGAATTAAGACAAAATAATAATTTGATACTTGTTCTTAATTATTATAAACTCAGCAGCAATAACTTTCCTTTCAAAAGTAAAGACCAAAAGAGAAAGCAGATGTCTTTCTCCCCATTTAAGGCTAACCCATTTGCTCTGGACAATGTAATATGTATAAATTATGCTTTTAAAATATTACTACATGTACTTATTCTTGGGAAGATAGAACATTGTTGTGATCTTAGTCGAAGTCAAGTTTCCGAATTTTATTCTCTTTCTTTGGACTTGTGTGCTTTCCTGCCAGTAAGAGCTTTGTACTCTGTGCATTGACCCCAAACGAGAGGTGGAAGGCTCCTGACTGACGAGGGGTTTAGATTACGATACAACTTAAAACAGGAAAAGAAAATGCTACAAACTGTACAATATAGTTAAGCTATAAAAACCAAATCATATACACCAAAACCCTTCAAATGTCACCTCTAATAGAGAAAAAAACTTCAAGGCCCCTGCAAAACCATTTTGAAAATTTGCATAACTTGAAACACGATAAAAAGGAAAGCCACTTGTTAGCTTTAGTCACTGTAGTCACCGACACAGGCACACACAAAGGAGGGCACTGGGAAGGGTTTCCTTTCTGTCTTTCATTTTGTAAATTTTGGTCATTGTACATCCTCCCTAATGTGGACTGAGTTGGTCTTGGGCCAGGTAGATGAATCATATGCATAGCATTATGGAAACTCATCCTGTTGCCTGGGATGGAAGGACAGATATGTTGGAGGCAAGGAACTCTCCAGTGAGAATGACCCCACTGCCTGCAAACTTATAAGCATTAAACACTGAAAACAAACAAGAATCCTAAGAGAATTTTCCATGTTCTTCTAGAATGTAAGGTATCTTAAATACATACTCAGTGAAATTGAAAACTAATAGCATTAAGAAACTTCTCTAGTGGTAGGGAAGTGTCTAGATGTATGGAGGATGTAGGGACCTTGGACAAATAAGTAGTTTAAGTGCCTTATTTGTCTACTTCAGAAGATCTGCCCGGCATGCTGGATGCACCTGTAATCTCAGCAGTCAAGATGCAGAAGCAGGAGGATTACTACAACTTCAAGGCCAGTCTGGGCCAAATAGCTAGTTCCAGGCTAACCTGGGCTATAAAGTGAGACTGTGTTTCAAAAAAAATTAAAAATGAACACACACACACACACACACACACACACACACACTCTGTACTCCCTTAATAAGGAAAAGATTCTTTCTTTCTTTTTATTTTTCTTGACAGGGTTTCTCTGTATTGTTTTGGAGCCTGTCCTGGAACTTGCTCTACAGACCAGACTGGCCTTGAACTCACAGAGATCTGTCTGCCTCTGCCTCCCCAATGCTGGGATTAAAGGCGTGCACCGTCAACGCCTGGCTTAAGGAAAAGATTATTATGCTTTACCCAAAGACCTCATTTGAGGGCCTCAGACCTGCAGAAGATAAGGGGTACAATGGTGTTTAACCTCTCCTTGATATTGGGTACGTACCAGTCAACCAAGTTAATAGTTACTGTGCTTAACCTCAATCTGGAAAAAAAAAAACCATACCAAATAGGCCTCATTGTTCCCCTGCTGCTGCTCAGACTTCTGGCTGGGTTTAGAGGGCTAAAGTGTCTGCAAAAGGTAAAAAAAAACTGGCATGTGGGAAGCTGGGATTGAAATTGTATTTGTTTTCTGTGTTCCATCATCTTGGAGCTGACAGGCTTTTCTTTTTCCCAAAAGGGTCTATTCGATTCAAAGTAGATCTAGTTCTCCAGCCTCATTAATAAAACCAAGGGAAGACAGGCTGGAAGATGGTTCAGTTGGTAAAGAGCTTGGGAGGGAGCCATCTCTAGTCCCTGCGTGATAAAAAGCCTGGCACGATGGCTCACATGTGTTCTCATGAGGTGGGGACAGGAGGATCCTTGGAGCTGGCTGGCCAGCAAGTCCGGCTGAATTGGTGAGCTCCCGGTTGAGTGAGAAACCCTATCTCAAAAAATAGGGTGGAGGGCTGGAGAGTTAGCTCGGGTGTCTAGAGCATTTGTTGCTCTTGTTGGGACTCAGGTTAGAATCCCAGCACCCACAGGGAGCCTGGCAACTGTCTGTAACTCCAGGCCCAGGGGATCTGAAGCCCTCTTCTTATCTTCAGTGACACCAGACATATATGTGGTACACCTACGTACATGTAAGCAGGGTGCACGCACATACATGTAAGCAGAACACACAAGCACGTAAAGTCAATAACTCTTTAAAATTGAAAAACAATAGGGTGGAGAGTGATTGAAGAAGACACTTAACACCAACCCCTGACCCGGGCCTCTACACACACACAAAGAGGCACAAGTTAGTGCCTTGAAATCTGTGCTTAGAGAACTAAGTAAAACTTCCAAATACCGAATTTGTTTACTACTTAAAGTTGTAAATTTTTATTTGAAATTTAGCAGGCTAAGTCAAATCCTATTCCCTGCAGTCTGTGCTACATGTTCCCAAGAGCACATGTTATTGTTTCCTTCTTGACACAAAGTGAGCTTTGGTGCAATCATTTGTAGACAATGTATTACTGTCTGCAATGCAACCATTTGTAGATGGGTTAACCTGGTGAAGCAGTAAATGGGAGTCTAGACCTCATCCTTGCCTGGGAGTTCGAAGTTTTGGGTGCAGACTTGGTTCACTCAGATCATCAAAGTAGCACACAGCTTAACTTTTCTGGCAGTATGTGGACTCTTGCTATTTCCGCAGCCCCTCCCCCTGGAAACAGACGGAGGGGTTGTGTGTGTGAGTGCTACCTTTGTGAGTAAACAACTCTGCTCTAAAGTGAATTCTGGTTTGTCTTCATGAAATGCACCCACTCCACCTTCAAATCCAAAAAGAAAAAAATGCCAGGTGGTGGTGGAACATACCTTTAATCCCAGCACTCAGGAGGCAGAGGCAGGCAGATCTCTGTGAGTTCCAGGCCAGCCTGCTCTGCAGAGTGAGTTGCAGGAGTACCAGGGCTACTCAGAGAAACTCTGTCTCACAACAACAATTACAGAGAGAGAGAGCGAGAGAGCGAGAGAGCGAGAGAGAGAGAGAGAGAGAGAGAGAGAGAGAGAGAGAGAGAGGATGGCACCTACCCTGCATGTAGCAGTTGCAGTTGTGCTCTTAGAAACAAGGCTGAAGAATGGCTCAGTTGGACAGTTGGAAGAGTGCTTGGCTAAACACGCACAAGAGACTGATTTTGATCCCCAGAAACAAGTGTTAAAGGAAATCTGAAAGTATAGTATGTACTTGAGAACCCAGTACTGCAGAGGTGAGGGTGGATGGGTCCTTGGCTCATTGGCTGGCAGGTCTAGCCATTGAGTGAGCCCCAAACCAGTGAGAGACACTGTTTCCAAATGGTAGACAATGACTAAGGAAAGATACTTAAGGTTGACCTCTGACCTCTTTGCACATACACCCAAACACATGAACATAGGTACTCATATTCGAACACATATGCACACCCTCCACCATTTCTGAAAAAAATCTACCTGCTAGGAAATAGAGAAGTATCATTTATAGTGGCCTCTCACCTTTATTCGAATATGAATTCTCTTGGAAAGTGATGGTGAATATGAATGTGCATACTATCTAATATTACAACATGAATTACAAAAAGCATTTGGAAATAGTGTAAAATATCAGTGAAAAGCAAAAGAACCTCACAAAACTCCAGCATGAACTGCTAAATATGCTGTTGCTCCAATGATATAAAATACAGGTAAAGAATAGAAACCTGTTTGTGAAAATGAAAATAATAATCATATTAAAGTATTATAATTGCCACTATTTTCTCATTTCATTTTAATATTAAAGTATACATCAACCACAAATCTGTGATTTATCTGCATAAACAAGGGTTACAAAAATTGTGTTGAATGCCCACCTAGAGGTGAGGATAGTTTTACTCCAGAAATGACTGCATCTTTAAAAATGCAGTAAAAGATTATAGAGATTTATTGATCATTACTGGATAAAACCAAAATATGCTTTTGTTCCCGTTTGTGAGTCAGACTCCCTCATCTCTGACCTTTAAGTGGCCTCGTTGTAGGTTGAGGCTGACTTCTCTCCCCCTCTTTAAGTGGCCTCGTTGTAGGTTGAGGCTGACCTCTCTCCCCCTCTTTAAGTGGCCTCGTTGTAGGTTGAGGCTGACCTCTCTCCCCCTCTTTAAGTGGCCTCGTTGTAGGTTGAGGCTGACCTCTCTCCCCCTCCCTGCTGTTGCTGCTACTCAGCCCTCATCGCTACCCTGCTGCCTTGGGAGTCTTTCTGAGCTGAACCCTGAGCAGGCGGGGTGGCTCCCCGGTGCCATGGGTCGATTAGTGTGGTATGCTGCCAAGGCCTGCAGGGACCACTTGCCCATGCTCATCCTGATGTTTCTGCCCATGTTAGGGACATGGCTTGAACAAATGAGCCGACAAACACAACCGAATTCGATGGACTCTCCCTACCCCACTCACATTTAAGCCTATAAGCATGCTTATGACTATAAAAAATTGATTGAGATCATGTCTGTTTCAGATGTAAATTGGAGTCTGAAATAAAATCTTGTCTCAATGAGGAGAGCATTGGAAATGAATGTTTTTGTGAACTTAAGAGTTTTGGTGAGTTGTCTTTTTTTTTTTGAACTTACATATGGGGGAATTTTGTTTGGAACTATGAAAGTTGGCCACTTGCTTTGTGCTCTCGTAGTAGTAACACCTGTCTGATTTTTTTCTAAACAAATATGAAAAGTCTATAAGCTATCAATCTGTTCCTTACTTTGTGTCTCTTTGACTCAATTTCACTTCCCACAGAGGAAGAGCTGTCAGGACAATGGTGCACGTATCTCAAAGCTGTGATCGACCCTATTCAAAAGCTAAGATCAGACCTAAAGAGACGGCACTACACTTCCCAGCATTCACCCTGCCATAAGGGCTCTAATTCAGCAATGGTTCTGGAAAAGGTCAGCATGTTTTAAAACATAATGTGATATCTCATTTTTTTTTTTTGTCCCAGATAGAACAGTTGAAGCAAACACCTGCCTTGGGTGTTCAAGTAGAGGGCGCTCCAACATCTTAAACATGTACTTGGATATGTCCAGGGGCCCACACTTTAACTTATTCTCCTGCCTTCATCCTTGCCCCTCCTCCCAGCACACTTGGAGTCCCTGCCAGTACAGCGAGATCAAACTGTCTGACTGCTGAAGTTCCCCATGGGCCCTTCTTAGTCCGTGACCCCACCCGCAATCGCTTCCGCTTGACCTTCTTCCTTCTTCAATGGCATCTCTTGCTTGGCACCGTCCCATTCCACATGAGCTTGGTCCCACAGAGGCCGGCCGTTGTGCTGCGCCCTTCACATATCAAACCTAGCCCTGTCTCAGAGCCCTTAGGCGGGGTGTTTTCTCTGCTCTTTAATTCTTTGCTGACCAGGTAAGTCTCAGTTACTCCTAACTGCCACCCTGTGCTCACACCTCTTTCCTCCTCTGCATGCCTTTTTGCGTGCCTTTGTTTACTAGGGTGTTATGCTAGCAGGGTCTGAACTTTCATCTCTCGGCTTGTCAGTTCCTCTGTAATATTACACTGCTCTCACAGATAATCAAAAGCTTCAGCTATGCCTAGACTAGAAGCTATGTCTGGTACTGTAGACTAGCAGCAAGGATTCTTGAGAGCGAAGGTGTGATTGAAGTCTTACCATCAACAATTACCATCACAACACAGGGTGGCTGTGACTATTGGGTGGTGAGCCCAATTTTGGTGATAGGTCGGGAATCCTCACTGAGGCTTGCTTGTTTGATGAGCCTTGGCTGGCAGGCAGCTTTTTTCTTCACAGAACTTCAAAAGGATTTTCCCTCCTCTAATTTTGCACTGCCCACTGGCTTCTGAGACTGTGACTTTCAATAGAAATAACCTTGAGCGAATTGCCGTAATTTACACACTTCCTGTCCACATGCTGCGTCCTCTAGGTTGACTCTGTCAGGAAACAATCCAAGGCTGACTTTGAAAGACTTGATCAAGAGCAACAGGAACTAGAAAAAGACCTATCGGACTGGAGTGTGAAGGTAAGTGTGATGCGACAACTGATTGGCTCTTTCAACACATTTTTCATTGTTGTTAAATATAATAATAATTCCTTTCAGCTACCAGATTATTCTACAGATGAAAAGACTAACCTGCTCAGTGAACAGCCGGCAGAGTTAGAGACTTTGGAGTGCCCATACCCTGATCTGAAATCGTCAATCCTTAATGAATTCCGGAACTTTACAGAGAAATATCAAAAGAAACTTGAAGACTTTGATATGCAATTAGAAGACATACGCAGGTGATCAGATAGACCTTCTTGACTTCTGAATGCTGAATCTGAATTTGTGTTCAGGGTCACTATACTTCAGGGATGGCTTCTTGAAGGAGGAAAGATAAGTTGAATTAGAGGTGGTTTACAGCAGTCATTTGCTGCTATGCTCATAAAGGCATATGGATATACTCTAATCAGTACTGTGTATGACACACTTAATCATAGCACTAATTCAACTTCCAATGTTTCAGGATCTCACTTTACTTTAATATGACTATTTTCCTTTTTGCTTGTAGTTGTTGGGTCTTGGAAGAATTCTCATGGTTTGTATATGTGCACATCTGTGGCAATGTGTGCATACTTCATCCATATTTCATTTTTTTGTTTTTTGAATCAGGGTTTCACTAAGTAGTTCTGGCTGTCCTGGAACTAACTCTGTAGACCAGGCTGGCCTTGAACTCACAGAGACCGACCTGCCTCTGCCTCCTGAGTGCTGGCATTAAAGTCTATGCTACCATGCCTGTCTGAGTGTGTGCATACTTTATAAGGACTATTTGTCCACATTGTCATCTTTAGCCAGTGTGACCTTGGTTTCTTGTTGTTTGCAACAAAAAACTTTCCTATTTGATAGAATTATTACTCAAATTCCATGATTTATATTAGGGTCACAATCCTCCCCAACTCTCCTTAATCCTTTGCTATCAAACTTTGCTTAATTGTAATTAAATAATTTATCTCTATATAGAAGCTTGTTGTAACTTACTCAGTCACAAAATGAATCCCCTTCATCACAGTAGTTTCTGTATCTCAAGAACAGACCCCACAAATGTACTTGCGTAGGCACACATTGTTTTAATAGTTATTTGTTGCAGCAATGAAAGACTGAGCAAAAGGACTGACTACTTTTGTAGATTATGTCCATAGAAGTTATTTTATAGGTGGAAAAGCAGGAAAATGTACATTTATGAAATGGGGCACTATCCAGGAGTTACTGTGATTATAAAGCCAAGGAAAGCCCAGTCATTCACGGTTTTGCCTTTGTGTATCTGAAACAATACACAAAACTCAAGAACATTTGTTGACTCTGGGGAGGGAGACTGCAAGTACACACTTGGCTAAAACAAATAACTTTTTAAGACAAAAAAGGTTAAAAAATAAGCACCAAATAGAAAAAATATTGGCAATACTTGAGATGAAAGATATTAAACTAATATAGAAAGATATTTGGCAAATTAATTGAATAATAACCAGCAAAGGAGATGAAGAAGGAAATTATCCTCTTTTCCTGCAAATACTTATTTAGTGTCTACAAGCATAAACCAGATAAAGCTCTCAATACTTGTTGTGTTAGTGTTCTAGTGCTATGAAGAGACACCATGACCACAGCAACTCTTATAAAGGAAAACATTTCATTGGGACCAGCTTACAGACTCAGAGGTTTAGTCGTTATCATCAAGGTGAGAAGCATGGCAGCATGCAGGCAGACATGGTGCTGGAGAGGTAGCTGATGTAGATATACCAACAATCTGTTAGTTTATCTGGATCTGCAGGAAGAGAGAGAGCTAGTGGGCGTGGCTTGGACTCTGAAGGCCCACCCCCAGTGACACACTTTCTCAAACAAGGTCACACCTCCTAATCCCTGTCAAATGGAACTACTCCCTAACGAGCAATCATTCAAACATATGAGACTATGGGGGCCCTTCCTATTCAAACCATCACACTTGTGATCAAGTTGGCAGCACACAGAGGTGTGGACAGAGTCCATAAGGCAATTATGTTCTACAGTATTAGATGCTGTTAAGTGCTACAAAGGCATATTTTAGAGTCAGAATGTGCTGGGATTTTAGAAGGTAGATTGCTCTTCTGTGATTTAAAATAAAACCTTGGGGCTACTGATGTGAAATCATGAAGTGGGTTGAGAGAGCTGGTCATGCAGACATTGGACATAAGAACCCATGTTCAATGAGTGTGTCTGACAAGGATTCAGTGTCTAGGAACCAGGGAAAGATGAGCAGAATCACTGAATGAGGTTCAAGAAGTAAGAGTGAATAGTAAATTATTATTATTTGTGTGTGTGTGTGTGTGTGTGTGTGTGTGTGTGTGTGTGTATTGCTGGGAGTTCATACAGTAAAGTGACTGTCACACAAGCATGACGACCTGAGTTCAGATCCCCAGAACCACATAAAAGAGAAATGTGGTGATATATCTGAAATCCTAGCACTGGGAAGGAAGAGACTGGAGGGTCTCCAGAGCCCACTGGCCAGCTGGTCTTAATAACTGGTCCACGTTCAGCAAGAGCTCTTGTCTCACCCTATAAGGCGAAGAGTGGTCAACATCAACTCTGGCCTACACACACACACACACACACACACACACACACACACACACACGCACGCACACAATACTCTATTAATATAAAGAGAATAGTATTTGTCTCATCAGAAATAATAAAGGCAAAATCATTAAAATTAAATAAATATTTGACTTCAAGCATTTTCATTATTAATTTTTCCCTTCCTACTGGTAGCAATATCTTCAAGACTATCCATGTGGGTTGGTGTTTTGTCATCTTGACACAAATTAACATCATCTGGGGAAAGGAACCTTAATTGAGGAATTGCCACCATCACGTTGGCCTGTGGGCATGTCTTTGAGGCGTTTTCTTGATTAATGATGGACATGGGGGGCCTGCCTCACTGTGGGTAGTGCCACCCTTCAGCAGATGACTCTGGGTGCTATAAACAAGCAGGCTGAGCAAGCCGTGGGGAGCAAGCCAGTAAGCAGCATCCCTCCATGGCCTCTGCATCTGCTCCTGACTCCAGGGTCTTTCTCTTCCCTTTATGACAGACTATAAATTGTGAGATGAAATAAACTTTTTCTTCCCCAAGTTGCTTTTGGCCATAGTATTTACCACAGCAATAGAAGGCAAACTAAGACACTACCTAAATAGCCAATCATTAGGCAGCAGTGACATCTGGCATGCTGAGTCCATACAGCACAGTACCACGCTGTTTCTAATCCATAGGGATTTTTAATGACACAAATAGCTGTAATATGTGTTATGTAAGTAAAAATCGGGTCACAAAGTGGGTTATATAATATAAATTCTCTTGGTGTTTCTTAAAGTTTGACATCTACATCTGTACACCCACAGAAAAAAGAGTGGAAACCCAGTCATTCAAATAAACAACTAGCACAGTCACCCCAGGTAGTGAAATTATAAACATTTTGTCATATTTCATTTTTATTTTATAAGGCAAATTATGGGCTTAAAATTTTAAGGTAAAGGTTCAATAGATCATTGGTATTTAATGAGTACCTATTGCATGATATGACAAGTACCCGTGACTTTAATCCTGAGTTTATTTCATTTTTTATTAGCTGTGTTTTGTCAGGTGAGGCACCCCTTTGTAAACTCTGCACTTGGGAGGCAGAAATGGGAGGACTGTGAATGTAAGACCTTCCTGGACTACATAGCCAGACCCTGTCTCAAGCCATGGAAAAATCAAAGGAACAAACGAGGGTTGTTTTACTCATTAAGTAGCCACAGTTCAGAGGAAGGAGGGCCATTTCCTAGTTTTGAGTCCTTCGTAATTCAGTGGATGAGGTGCTTTCTGCCCATCTGAATAAGAAAGCTATTTACATATGCCAGAAAGCTGGTCAACCTTGTGTCCTAGATCAGTGCTGTTTAATGGAAATATATGAGCCACATATATAATTAAAAAATTCTAACTAGTTGTATTAAAAATGAACTGGTTGTATTAAATGAATTAGTTGTATTAAAAAGGAAAAAGGTGAATCTTTCAAATATATTATAACTAATATTTCCAAAATATTATAATTACAACAGACAAATATTTTATAATTATTCATAAACCTTTACACACGCTGTTTTTTTCATAACGTTTTTGAAACATGCTCATAGGACAGATCATGCTAATATAGCCATGACAAGTCACGCACATGTCTGATGGCTAACATCTTGGATAGCACAGCTTTAAAGAATGGTCTCATTTACTACAACACACTATAAAAACGATCTGAACACAACAGAGCCTCACCCTTCATTCATCATGCAGGCAAAGCTCTTTGGATTCTGCTTAGTCTGTGTGTCGTTAAGAATACGAAGTTGAATTTAATTGCTTGTTTTAGATTCCAAAGAGATTGTGGCTTTAATTTCCTCACATTTAGATGAATTAATCATATCGATGAGACATAATTGTGTGATGGTCCATTTAGCTGTGTCAGATCCAAAGTCAATATGTAGACTACTATAGCAAGATAACAAGTACTTTATAATTTTTGTTGATGGGTATATTAAATTTTATACTGTTGGCTCATAATTAATATTTTGAGATCTGAATCTGAATGCCATTTAACAACGGGCCCTCACAAATGCTCTAGGATCCTGGTTTTCAACTTAATTATTTCCACTTATCATTTTTGTTGGTACCATTCAAGGCAGTGCTTTCGTACTCTATGAAAATTTCAGTTTGTGTATTTGTGTCTGAATTCAGCAATAATTACATTATAGAAAAATTTAAAATAGAGATAAGTGAAGAAATGACATTAATCTAAATCTCAGAGTGACCTTAGAGTAAAACTTTTGTGTATTTCAGATATATGTGTATTGTTTATGAAAAGGAAAATTATGCACATAGCTTCCCTATTTAATCTCCCTCTTGCTGTTCTTTTGTTCTGTGGTATTTGCAGACTTTCTCCTGCATTCTAAGTCATCCACTAGATATCCTTTGCCTGCAGTTTTTTAAATTAGATGCATGCTAGTATAATGTGTGATTATATCCTACAAATTCAGCCAATTTTCCATTTTTGAGTAGTAGTTATTCTACATTTTGATGCTTGCTTAGAGACTTTGAGATGGACTGGTTTGTCCCAGTATTTTTAATAATCTTGTGATTATTCTGTTTAGATGGGTTTTAGAAATAGAGTCAAAGGGTGTTAAGAATATTGTTACACTTCGAGAAAAATCAACCAAAGTTATGTTTTCTTTTTCTTCTCCTTTCAGTTTTTTGTTTGTTTATTTTTTAGTTTTAGGTTTTTGAGGCAGAATCTCATGCGTTCAGGGAGGCCTCAAACTCATGTGAGCTTGAGCTTGTGCCGAGCGCAACACAAATTGTAGCAAGTTTTATTATTTGGTTCATCTTCTAGACTTAATGATGAGGACTTAGATCTTGCCATCCTGAGGAATATCATCAGGGTCCTGCTCATGCTTTGTGTCCCCATGTTTACCCACATGGTGTACCTCTAGCAATGTCTTTAAGTCAAAAGAAGAACACACCCATTTCCCATTGCATCAAAGCAAACCATACTCTATTGCTACTAAAGATGAACTGGGCAAAACCCGCATCATAAGACATCATGGCCTCGTAAAAGCTTAAACAAACAGATGCTTGTGCATGTGTCTGTTGCCTGATGAAGACAAGAGAGAAGAAAGCAAGGGGAGTAGGATAACAGAGATGACATGGGCTCACTGATAAATAAGGCCACAAGCTAAAACATCGCAGCTTTCACACATATGCAGAGTGCCTGGGTCAGTCCTATGCAGGCTCCCTCGTTGTCTGGTTAGCAGGGGCAGAATCTTATTCTGGCTTTTGGTTCCCTATTCCTCATACTTGGTTGCCTTGCCCAGCCTTAATACGAGGGGAGGTGCTTAGTCATACTACAACTCGGGATGTCATGTTTTCTTGTTACCCACGGGAGGCCTGTTCTTTCTGAATAGAGTGGATGGGGTGGGGGTGGGGGGAGGCAGAGGGTAGGTGGGGGACTGGGAGGAGAGGCAAGATGGGAAACATTGGTCAAGATTTAAAATAAATAAATAATAGTTATAATAAAAAACCTTCTACAAAAGCCTACAATAAAAAGCCTTCAATAAAACATTGCATCTTAACCACCAGTGGACATTTCGTCCTAAAAATGTCCTCTCAGAACTGTTGGGAAGGTTCTGCATGTGAACCTGTGTTGGTTGTGTGCCAAGAGTGATTAATAAATGGAGGAGTTGAGGGGGGGGAGGGAAAAAGAGAGAGAGGTGTAATTTTTTGATCATCAAGTGTTTGCTTAGTCTGCTTGATTAGCAGACCCAGGCCATTTCCCACTTTCCTTGGTGCATTCCCAGGGGAAATTCCCACTCATTGCTGGCCTTTGCATCTGTTGAGGAATCAGTAGTCATGGTAGACAGTTTTCTTTTTATCATGTAGCTTTAGTGGTATTGTTTTAAAAGAAAATTTTCATCAAAATTACTAGTTTATAATTCAGTGTTATCTCATACCAGAAACCACATTTTGTAGTTATTCAACCTCTTAACTGCTGAGCTATCTCTCTAGCCACAGTGTTTAAGTTCTCTTGGAATTCCTTTGTTTAACTGTATTTGTATGTTAGGAATTGTAAAATGTAAAAAGAAAATTTGTTATGTGCCACACGGCAATTGAAGTTCAGGTCTCAGCCCACCAGGAGGAAAATCAATGATGTGTGATCTCAGATAAGCAAGACCCTGAGACCCCATACTCCAGAATATATTTTGTTTCTTCTGTGCCTTTATGTGTTTGCTGCTATCTTTCTCTTTGGTGTCTTGCATGGGGTGAATGGGTGTGGGGAGATCCCCACTGCCTGTAGTATGGTGTGTTTATCTCATGGAAACATTCTACTGGGCTGTTTTACCTGTGAATTATTATGAAGATGATTTCTTCCTAAGCTGTTGTATTGTCTAATTGAAAATATGTTAGTTTAAATGGAGCTTCATGATTGAAAAATGAAACAAGGAAGTGTCACACAGTTAGAACGTGAGTTTCTGTTGAGGAGCTGTAGATACTGTGGCTTAGGTTGAAAAACAATTGAGTCCAGTAGCCCAGCTAACTTAAATTCGTTTAACCTTAATATTGGGAGACGAGTTCACAGGTTTCAAAGTACATTACAGCTGAAACAAAGCTTTGAAAATAACTTAAAGTTAGACTAAGATGTTTTGTCAATTAGCTTTGAAGTGAAAAAACCCAAGAAGACAATCTAAAGTTTTAGAAAGGCACACAATTGAGTCAGGAACTCTTTAAGGTTGGGAACAAGAACAAAGCAGCCCAATTATCATTAGCTGACACACCTTTCTTGCTAGGATTGGTTGAGTATCAAAGGTGATGATTAATTCCTTATACCCATTTCTGCCTCAACCTCCTGATACAAGAAACTATTGATGAATGGGCATGCGCCCTAAAGATTTAAAGTAGAGCTGCCTGATTCCTTTTCATATATAAAAGTTTAGGTTTGTGGTTCTTTTAAGGTTCCCCTTAAGATTAACTTTCAAGATAAGTAATAAAATGATTGGTCCTTTCTTTGTAACTGGGAAACGCACCCTGCCAGTAAAAGAATACTTTGCTTACTTGCACTGTGTTAATCTATAACAAGTTGCTTAGGTATGAATGTCCGTGGGTTCTTAGGGGTCATTTGTTTTTCACCTGTAATATATAAAATATTTAATCTTGTAAGTAATATGGGAATCGTTTTTTATCTGTATTCATCATAATTATTCACTTGAAAAATAGAATGTAACCACGTTGTTATATTTTTATATTGCCCGAAAGATTTTGCTGGAGTATATAAGCTGTACAGATGGAATTAGATACAGGGAGAAGGAAAACATCAAGAATGAGAGAGTTAGAAGGAAAACATCAAGAATGAGAGGATAAGGAAGAATATGGTAAGAAGAAAACATGAAGATAAATGGAAGGGACATTTCTGTATAGGGATAAGAAAAGAGGCTGTAGAATACAGAATGGAGAATACAAAAAAGAATAAAAAAGGGAAATCATCAAGAAAGAGTGTCTTTTCCTTTAACTTGCTCAGATAAAAAAGTCAGTATGTGCTGACTCTGTAGATTCCCTCTGAGTCCTGTGCTGCTAGAGGCTGCGCCCCCCCCCGCAGTGACAGTATGTCTTTAATTTAATAGTCCTTTAAAATTGATTGTATTATTTTTGTTTGTGCATATGTGTGTGGGTGCACATGAGTGTAGGATAGAAGAGGCATTCCGTCCCCTGGATTTGGGGTTATAGGTGGTCATTTACCTGATGTGGATGCCCAGAACCAAACTTAGGCCCTCAGCAATAGTTACCCCTTAATTTCCGATTCAGCTCTTCAGTCCCTCCCTCAAGCAGGCTTTATTGTTAACATCACTACCGTCTAAACCTGTCTAATAAACCAAACCAAACCAAACTAAACCAAACCAAACCAGACAAATGAACAAATAAAGTCCCTTTCACTTTTAATAGGCATGTAGCAATTTTACATATTTATGTAGTGTGAAGCAATAACATACTCACACACACATCCACACAGTATAAGGATCAGATCAGTGTAATCGGCATTTTTATCATTCTACACATTTATTATTATTTTGAGTGTGCAGCAGCAAAATCCTCTCTCTTAGCAGTTTGAAATCATTAGACTAATTCTTGTCAATCATCGCTGTCCCATGCCGTTCTAGATAATTAGAATTTATTCTTGTCCCAATTCACACATCTGTTGACCATCGTCTTTCTCTGCTTCATTTTCTCATAACGTCCGTGGCTGTGGTGACCACTGTTCTACTCGCTGCTTCATTGAGACAAACCTTCAGCTTTCATATGTAAGTGATATCACCCAAGGTTGGTCCCTGTGTTTTACCTGTTTTCATCAGTATCCTCCAGTTTCATCCACAGTGCTGACAACGACAGAGTTTCATTTTTGATAGGTGTAGTACTGACTTTCAGCTGTCAACTTGATCACCCCTGAGTCACCTCAGAAGAGGGGTCCCTCTACTGAAGAATTTCCTCAGTTGGCTTGGCCTCTTAGTTGCTGGTTGATGTAGAAGGGCCCAGCCCACTGTAAGGGGGTCATCCCTAGGCGGATGGTCCTCACCTATGAGAAACCTGGCTGAGCAGGAAGGGAGCAGCTTTCTTCCATGGTTGCTGTGTCTGCCTGTGCTTGATACTTGCTTTCCTCATTGAAAGACTGTGGCTTAGAAGTGTGATCCAGGTAAACCCTGTTCTCTCTGAGTTGTTTCTCGTCATGATGTCTATTACAGCCACAGAGAAGCTAACTAGGGCAACAGATTTTACACATATACATATCTATACAGATCTAGATATTTATCCATTACTCCCAGATTTCAAATTTATTTATACATAGTCTTTTATTAATTTTTTTATTTCTGTGGTATCAGCTGTCACTTTTTTTCATGTTTGATTTTCTTTGTTGGAATTTTTCTTTTTCCTATAAAGTAGTTTGCTAATTTTACTTATCTTCATTAAGCATTTGTAGTTTTGGTTTGTCTCAATTTCTTTTTCTTTTTTCTTTTTTTTCTATCCTGGCCTTTGTAATGTCTTTCTTTGTAATATTTTGGATTTGGTTTGATTTTGCATTTCTTGTTCCTTGAGTGGGATCATTGGGTTATTTATCTGAAATCTTTCTAATTTTCAATTTAGTTATATTTGTTTCACTATGATTGAATGTTCTAGCATTAGATGTCGATATAGTTACAATTGTTATTTCATTTTGTTGAACTTGTCCCTTTATCACTAAATTGTGACAGTGTTTTTTCCACAATATTTAACTCAAAGTATTTATCTGTTACTTTGGACTTGTATTTGCATAATACCTTTCCTGCTTTTTCACATTCAATTTCTGCATTTCTTTATTGGCAAACTGAGTTCCGCACAGCATGTGGCTAGATCTTATTAATTTTTCCTATGTGGCCAGTCTATGATGGTTTAAAAAATATTTGCATGTGTATTTGTCACATCAGTATACATGTTCATGTGTGCAAGCAGGTGTGTGTGTGTGTGTGTGTGTGTGTGTGTGTGTGTGTGTGTGTGTAGGCCACAGGATGGCATCCAGAGACATTGTCTCAAAGAAATAATTACTCTTCGCAGTATTACTTTGAGACAGTGTCTCTCACTGAACCCGGTGCTCACTGATTTGGCTAGTCTGGCTGGCTAGAAAGCTCCAGTAGTAGAATACTCATCTCTACTATTTCCCCAGTGCACTCTTATGCCTGTGTTTTTTTTTTTTTTTTTTTTTTTTTACATAGGTGTTAGGGATCTGAACTCAGGTCATCTCCCCATCCTCAATCCATGTGTCTTAAACGGGGATTTTAATTCATTTGCATTCAAGGTTATTTTTTGAGAAATACTTTCTTGTGTGATTTTGATATTTCCCCCTCAGGTTCTTTTGCAAATCTCTTCCTTTGTCTCTTGTTCATATGTGGGTCTCTTTTCAGTGCTGGTAGAGTTTGACTTTCTTCTCTATTCCTCCTGTGTGTCTCCTCTCTTATTGAGTCTTCAACTTTCTATGTTTCCAAGATGGCAGGGAACATCCTTCACATCTGTGTGGAGTAACTTTAAGTATTCCTTGTAAGGCTAGCCAGGGAGTGATGAATCTCCTGGTGTCTGTTTCTGAAACACCCCATTTCTTCTGTATTTCTCCAATTAGCTTTGCTGTGTACAGTGCTCCAAGTTGAAATGTGCTGTTTGATTAGGACTTTGAATACTCATACAGTTCTTTCTTGGTTTTTAAAGTTTCTGTGGAGAAGCTTGCTCTTAGTTTAATGAAGTTCTCCTAAGAGTATTTGAGTTTTTCTTGCCATTTTTAGAATCATCTCTTTGTTTCGTGCTTTAAAAATGCATGTGTGTGTAAGGTCCAAGAAAATGCTGAAGGAAGACCCCAGACTCAAATAGTATGCAAAAACAAAGAGCGTTTATTTCCAAGTGTGTACAGAGTCAGTCACCTGTCCAAAACGTCAGTGACCCTGACAGGAGCATGCAGGGTTCTTTTAAGCACACTTAGGGGAATTTCAGGAACAGTTAGGCCATCTCAAAATGATTGCTCAAGCAAGCAGCAGTTACACTAGTTTATTTTTGATTGACTGAGGTTTTTGTTTTTTCATCTTTGGGCATACTGGGGCAAGTCCCAGCCTGTTTTCGGGGTTTATAGGAACTGCTCTTTTTTGGTCACAGTCTGTGGGACCTGGCTCAGGCCTCGTACATGCTTCCCTCCTAATCCCTGCTCTCAGGGGAGGTGTTGACTAATGACCTTTGTTGAAAAAAAAAACTTGTTTGCCTTAAAACAAACAAGCTAGTAAGCAAGCAAACAACAACAACAAAAACCCCTGAAACCTGAAACTTAGATCTGTTGTAAAATGTACATGTATACCCAAGTGTGCAAGTGTGTGCAGGCTAAATGTTGGCCTCAGTGTCATCCTTAGGAACACTCTCCACTTCTTTTGAAACAGACTCTTTTAATGCTGTTGAACTTACAATTAAACTAGACTGGTTGGTCATTGAGTCCCCAGAATCATCATGTCTCCACCTGCCTCCATTTACTGCTGGGATTATAAGTGCGTGTCACCATGCCTGGCTTTTCATGGGCTGCTGGAATTGTAGTGACCAGTCCCCCATTTTAGCAGCCATTACAGGCTAACATGTGCTTGCATGACCTTGCTGCTCCTGTCCTGGTCACTAAGGTCAGATGACCTCTTTGTGGCAAGGAACTGTGCTTTACGGCTCTGGGTGTGCTTTACGGACAGTGCACAACAGTGACGTGCAGAACATAGCATCCACCCTGGGAGGGCCTATGGGCCATAACAACCAGTTGACCAATCAACACAGGGCGGGTCAACCAAACCTGGAAGCGCACCAATCCTGAGACTGTTTCATCCCCCTAGACACTCCCCTTAAGCTGCCTTTTAAGATCCCTGCCTCAAGGTTGTTTGGAGTCTTTCTCCAGCCATCTGCCATGGTGGCGGGGTGAAGGGCCCGAGCTAAACATCTACAATAAAAGACTCTGCTTTTGCATTGAAGTAGACCTCTTGGTGATTTTGGGGTTCAGAATTTGGGCACAACACTCCTTGGTGATTCTTGGGAGTTAGCCTAGCATCAGGTTTCTCCCTAAGCCCACAGTGGCTCTCTCTATTAAGGTATCTCTTTCATCGCTCTTCCACAGCATCCCTCCCCACCTTGGCCGTCTCATTCCCTTCTTTCCACATTCCCCACCTCTTCTCGTCAACATCCCCCATCCAGTTTCCCCCCTAGAGCTCTTCTAATTTCCCTTCCCAGGTGATGCATGTGTGCCTCTTAGGGTCTTCTTTGTTATCTAGATTCTCTGGAGATGTGGATTGTAGTCTGGTTATCCATTGCTTGACATCTAATATCCACTTATAAGTGAATGCATACCATGTTTGTCTTTCTGAATATGGGTTTCTGAAGACAGAATTTCTGTTCCTCCTGGTCCTGCAGCCGTTTAGTCCCAAACAAACACACTGAGGCTTATTAATTATAAACTTTGGCCAATGGCTTGGGCTTCTTATTGGCTAGCTCTCTCCTAATTATTAACCCATTTCTATTAAACTATGTGTTGTCGCGAGGTTGTGGCTTACCCATAATGCTCTGGCATGTTATTCCTTTGGTGGCTACATGGTGTTTCTCTCTTGACTCTCCACATTTCTCTTCCCCAAAGTCTCCTAGTCTGGTAGACCCACTTACATTTCCTCCATGGCTAGATCTGCCTGTCCATAGGCTGAAACAGCTTTATTCATCAACCAATAAGAAACATATATTCACAGCATGCAGAAGGACATCCCTATCAGGTTACCTCACTCAGGATAATTTTTTTCTAGTTTCATCCATTTGCCTGAAAAATTCATGAGATCATCAGTTGCTCTTTTTTATTTATTTTTGTAACTAGCATATGATGTGTAGATTTCATGTGGCATTTTCCTTCCTGATTGTTTATTTCTTTGCTGAATGTCACACTCACATTATACATTACTTTCGTAGTTGAATTGTCTATATTTTGACAATTATTCCCTTGAGATATCCTGCATGTCACTTTGTTGTGTCATAGTTCTGTGTCCTTATACTAACCTTTGTGCATCTGACTAGTTGCCTCTATCAGTTGTACAGGGTAACTTTTATGGCAAGTCTTATTCCTGGTAATACTTTCTGGGTGTTAATTGGACAGTCTTCATTGGCTGTGGTTTTAGTTGGATACTTTCACATAGTGTCTATGTGACTTCTTCAGTTCTTATCAATATTGGTGATGACTACAGGTATCTCAGTGTTCAAACTTGCAGGATTTGCGGGATTTTATCACCAGCTGAGATATACCTCTGTCTTAGTTGGGATGGGTTTATTGCCTACACCGAGTACAATGGGTTTGGAGTGCCTATCTGTTTCTGTGGGTTTTGGGGATGTCCTTAGTGGCCCTATGTGTGTTGCTTCATGCCTGGTACTGAGTCAAGGTGTTACCAGTGTCTGAAGCCTTCACTACGGTGAGAAATAGAAGTTTATTGAATAGCAAGTCAACATAGGTTTTTTTGAAATGACTCAAGCACATGCAGTTTAGTAGAAATCAGCCAGGGTCAAACTGAATTTTCCCAGTTTAGATCTCTTTGTTTTATGAATGAATAGCATTGCCTCATCTTTTAGAAAATCATAATGAAATGGCACGTGTGACCTCAGTGTTTGGAGGTGGAGGAGAGGGGGGACTGAGTGCCACTGGTCTCAATCTCTGCACCCTGAAATCCTGACCTGCTAGAAGCGCTTGGGAACATGCACACTGAGAAGTCTGGGTGTGCTCTAAGGAAAATGAAGTTACAAAACATATTTAAGTATAAAATTTGGATAGATCAATAAAATAGAAATGGTAAATAGCTCACAAATTTTTTCTTTGGTCTCAGGTATTTCTATAATTTAATTTATTTAGTCTTATATGTATGGCTGTTTTGCCTGTACTTATGTCTGTGCACCATATTCTTGCCTGGAGCTCACAGAGTCTAGAAGGGGACATCATATCCCCTGGGATTGGAGTTACATACTGTTGTGTGAGCTCGATGTGGGTGCTGGGAATCGAACCTGGGTCTTCTGCAGTGCTCTTAAATCCTGGATCATCCATCTCTTGAACACCTGTATGCAGTATTTTTAGTTGCAAAATTTTAGGATACTTGCAGTGTTTTATTTAGAAAAGTTTAGAAATTAAACAAATTTCTATTTCAGAAAGATAAGGGATTTTTTTTTAACTTAGTGTGTTTTGTTACCATAATCACCAGTGAATTGGTTAACTTGTGCAAAAACTTTGTAAGGTAGAAGCTAACCCTGTCTTAGTTATTTTACAAACTTGTTTTTGTAATAATAAAAAATCAAGGTTTTATTAGGAGAGATAAATGTTCAAGTTTTAATTTAGACCACCCTTATGTGGAATATAATTTTATTTTAGTGGCTAAAAGGTCCTGTTTCTAAGAAATGGCTGCTTTGTTACACTGAGGAAAGTCTATATAACACTCGCTCCTTTTGGATTTTACTATGCCATCTCTCTCTCTCTCTCTCTCTCTCTCTCTCTCTCTCTCTCTCTCTGTGTGTGTGTGTGTGTGTGTGTGTGTGCGTGTGTGTATGTGTATGTATGTGTCTGTGCACATCCATGTGTAGGTCTGTGTGCAGTAGTGAATCCTCTCCCTTTCCTCTCAAAGAGCAATCTAATGGATATGGGTGGTTGTGCTGTTATTATTGCCTGTGTGAGTATTTGTCTTAAGATTTAGGCCTATTCCTCCGGAAACTGCTATAACTATTCTAGAAATGATAATAATTATGATATTTAACATGCTATTTCCTTTCAACATTTTTTTAAATTTTACTTTTCATGCACTGGAAAAATGACTTACAACTTGTGTAATTTTAGTAAATAGAGAAAGACAGTTGAGATGTGAAGCTTCTCAAATCAACAGGAAGGTCAAAACGGATGTCATTGTTATACAGGGCGTACTTAGTTTGAAATATCTGGTTTAAATGTTTTATAGTTCTCTCATACATTTAAGTGGCTTTTAATGTCATTTAAATAGCAACTAATTAATATATTCAAGCAATTTATAAAAGTGAACCAAATGTCACAAATTCTTCTGTTGCTGTTGTGTTTATTTATAACAGTGTGTGCTGCTTAATATGTGCTTGTATTTGAAAAGCATTTCAGTAAATGTTTGCTATTCGCACATTGTGGACAGCTACAATCTTGTACCATTATTCAGTAGGCGAAGCCATCAAAGTAATTAGTTTAAATCTACTTCTCCATTTATCAAACCATTCAAACTGTTTTTGAAAATTATGCATGAGGTTGATTGTAGATTATGTTAGGCTGATTTCTGCAGAAACAAAACCAAGATGGGTTCCTGGAACAACAGAACTATTAGAGGATGCTCTGAGAAGGCTTAGAGGGAGGCAGAATAGAGGAGAGATGCCTCAGCAGGAGGGCATCTTGGTGGAGGATGACTCTGATGTCATTTGAACTAAACTGGTGTCAGCATTAGCCCCATTGGAGGGAACTGACTGGGAAAGCCTTGTTGACCTATGTCTATCACTCAGCTGCCATTTTTGCTTGGCCTTGGAAGCATCATGGGAGGGGAGTCTCAGAGTGGGGTGCTTCCCCTGTGGCCCAGGAAAATTGTCCTCAGAAGAGAAGGATCTCTAGATGTCACCAGCCCAGACTCGTGGCATCTTGGTGATGGGGATCTCCCCTAAGAAACAGTCACTATTGTATAGATGAGTAATAGTTTAAAAGGACAGAAACTTACTGGACAAAGGTTCTGTCCCTTTCTCCCATGGTGAATATCTCACAAACATAGGAATCAGATAAGGCTAGCAATTCAACTGTGTTCAGGGCACTTTGATTTTGGAGATAGTTTAAAACGTTAACAAGGGCATGAACTTTAGTTATGTTCTTCTATTGCTTGCGGGATGATATTGAAGAATTTCTCCTGCTAACTGCTGTTAAAATGCATCCCCATTACAGTGAATGAAAATGGTCCTTGAGAGAGGACCTGAGGCATTGTCCTTGACAACCTGAGGGCATTTTAAATGCCAAGTGCACTCAGGAAAGCTTTTCTCCTGGGTTAATTTCTCTACTTGAGGTATTTTATATGCAGAAGCCTTTGGCTGTCTTCACATACAGAACCAATCCAGTTGGAACCAAAACACTCGGTTTGTTCATGAATGAATTCATTTTAATATTTCTCCTGCATTAGATTATTATGACATACTGAAAAATTTCCTGTTGGTGGTCCATCTCTCACCCTCTTTCTTCTTCCCTTTAGGTAGTAGGTATGGAGAATTTTCTCTTTAAATTTTTTTCTCATGCCCCTTATCAGTGTATTGAAGGAACTACCTGACCTTGTATGAGGTGGTGTAATTCCTATTAATTCCACTCACTTAAAAGGTGTCCTATTTTCTTAAAAATGTCACATATTTTTCAGAGGCAGAAAGATATCTGAAAAAAATGAAATTGCATAATCTAAGTTGTAAGATCATTGATACAGTAGAAATAAACAATGGCAATCCATCTTGGATCAAAAAAATGTTCGTTACTATTAATACTTCCCCTGATTGCATTTGTATTTGATTATTCTAATTTACTTAACGGAGTAATAATAACATGCAAATAAAATCAGAATATAAAGAGGCATTAATCAGTTTAGAGTTCAAATTGACAATGCAACTTTTTCACTTTGCATAGGACTTTGCCAATACTTTATGCAGATTGTGAATCATCCCAGTGCTTAGAAGTGCTGGCAAGGGGGCCCGGAGAAATGGCTCAGCAGTTAAGACCACCATCTGTTCTTCTGAAGGACCCAGGTTCAATTCTCAGCACCCACATGGCAGCTTACAACTGTCTGTAACTTTAGTTCCAGGGATTCTGATACCATCACACCAATGTACATAAAATGAAGTTAAATAATTATATATAAAAATGGTGAGAAGGGACTAGGTGTGTTGGAACAGACTGGACACATGACTAGGACAACTTGCAGGATCTTGTTTACAAGTGATTTCTTTGCACAGGTCCTTCCACCCAGCCACATGACTGATTCAACCCCTGAAATGCAAATGGTAGAAGGGGAGAACCAACTCTATGTAAGATGACCTACAACCTGCTGTGTACCCACATGCACATACACAAAATAAATGTTACGAAAACTCAATAAAAACCCAAGTTATTTATTTGGTCATCAGAAATGTGGCATCCTTGTGTTTCTTTTCATCACCAGTCTGTAGTATTATCCACAAAGCATGAGGTAAAGAGAATAAAGTACAAGCTTATGTGACTTGCCTTGGAGCTCAAACCTCACATTAACTGCCACTCTCAATCTGTCTTTATTCTTCTGTATGTAAAAGTTTCATCTGTTTATATTTATGCTTTCCTCCAGTGTAGAAATGGGAACTTTGTTGAATAAGGAAAATTTCTTTTTAATCTTTATCCCTAATAACTATCTTTCCAGTGTTTATCTATTTCATTCCCTGGTGACAGTTTTTAAAATATTGCTAAAGGCAAAATACAACACATATTAGGAGAATATAGTGTCTCACCAACATCTTCAAGTTATGCCTGGAACTATGGCAAGATCAAACGAAGCACTGAAAGAATTCACAGTACATGGGCTTAGTATTTCCCTGGAAAACATTCAGTGCTTAACAATGAGGAAAAATGCCTCAGATGAGCCTATTGCTACATTCCCACTGTTCTTCTTCCTGGGGGTGGGAGTGAATCTCGGGGTTCTCTTGAGGTTAGGCTGAACAACATAGTGAGACACTATCTTCAAAGAAAGCTTCATCTTCTGTGATTTCACGACTTGCTAATAGCTTGAACAGTTAGAAGTCCCTTAAACGCCATGATTGTTCACCTCTGTGTTGTGACTTTTTTATTGCTTCCAGAAACTTCCAATTAAGTGAAGAAGAGCAGTGGATTTACCAGGCTGTCTTAGACCAGTACCCTGGAAATCTCCTTGGCAGAAGGACTCTGTACTTGGACATGTTACAAAGATACTTTCCTCACAAATCTAGGCATGATTTGGTGAGTGCATCCTGATGGTTACTATATATATCCTATATGCCTGTGAATTGCAGTGTTTAGTGACCCATAATTAGTAAGACAAATGTATGTCTGTTAAATAGTTGTGGTGGTTTGAAAGGGAGTGACACTCTCATGTGATGTGACCTTGTTGGAGGAAGTGTGTCACTGTGGGGCTGGGCTTTAAGGTCTCTTTTTCTCAAGCTTCCCTCAGTGTGACAGTCAGTTGACTTCCTGTTGCCTGCAATACATGGCACTCTCAGCTCCAACACCATGTCTGCCTGCACGCTGCCATGTTCCCCTTGGTTTTAATGGACTGAACCTTTGAAACTGTAAGTGAGCCATCCTCAATTAAATGTTTTCTTTATAAGAATTGCAGTGGTCATGGTGTCTCTTCACAGCAATGAAAACCCCACGACACTAGTGCTCCGAGAGTTCTTTATTCCTCTACTATAGAAGATACCATGACAGTTTGCAAACCTGTGTGGGTCCTGTTTTAAGTCTATAAAGTCTGGGGGAAGGTCAGGGCCAGTACACTGTGCTCCCCTGCCTGGAGACTTTCACCCCTGGAGTTCATGCCATTGCTTACCTGCTCACTATGGAGACCCTGCCGATCTGACTCTTGCCTGAAACTGGAATGCTTGCCTTCTACCCGCAGAGCCTGGGAAATGCGACTAGCCTCCATCACCACAGCTTTGCCTGATTCCCACATGGTTCCAAACACACGCGCCACTTCAGGAACCAAAGGCACAACAGAAAGTTACCTGACAAGAAATTGAGAAATTATTATTTCATTCTGTAGTGGCCATGACTACAATGGCAAGAATTCCCATGTCCCCAAGCTTGTGCCAATTTAACTTTTAAATGAGCCATGCTGTGAAATATTACACTTCACCTTTGCAACTGTTTCAAATTAAGAAGTGAATTGCATGCATTCGGATGTTGCTTTCTGTCAGTCCTGTGACAGTCCTTTAGTGCATGAGGTAATGGATGAAGTACCATTGTTACCAATAATGTGCGGTGAAGAAACTCAAGACCACACAACTAGTGTGGCTGTCATCTCCCATCCTTCTCATCCTTCTTCGGTCCGTTCTCCGACCCTGTGTAGTAAATACCTAGTTTTGTTAATTCAATTTTTAGAGATTAAAAACAGTTTTATTTATTCTTTGTGTCTTTCATATTACTCGTCTTGACCCCATTCATCTCTCCATCCCTTCTGTCTGCCCTCTGACCTTGCAAATCCCCCCAATACAATACAATTTAAGAGAAAAAGAAAAAGAACAATCTCATTGTGGAAGCTGTAGTATGACACGTGAGTCACACAGTGTATACCCTTTAGTCCGTACATCTTTACTCAAAAGTGTTCTTTGTAAAGAGTCACTGGTCTGCTTTGAGGCCTCTGGATTTTGCTACACCATTGATCCTGGGCCCTCACCAGGACTCCTGGATATCTTGTTGCCTGTGTTGTGGAGATCCTACAGCTTTGGATCTGCAGGACTGGCCCATTCATGTGCTCCTCAAGATCATAGACAGGGTGGGTACTGGGAAAGGCCAGCTCATAGCCCCGGTTCTGAGCCTGGGATCAGCGCTTCCGATCTCCTCTGTCCTCACCACCAGGGTGAGCTCTCCAGCAATGCCCTGGCTAGTGCACCCTGTGCAGCAAGGAGCAAGGGGTGGGAACAGTTCTGCTTTCATACCCCCAGGGCTGGCTCACCACACCTATACCACCAGGGCCAGCTCTGCAGGCACTCTCCCGAGTGCTGAAACCGCTGAGGGCCAAGGACAGCTAGCTCTCCGACTCTCATGACTGAGGGGCCACCTTTCCCAACTGGCACAGGTGGTGAGGAGTCAGCGGGGCACTTCTTCCTTGCTGACTCTATTGTATACCAGATGAGAGGCAGGGCCAGATCTCCTGTACGCGCTTTCTTGGGGCTGGCTCACCCTACCTGCCACCAACAGGGGCAGCTCTACAGTGCTGCCCAGGTGAGGTGGAGGACTCACTCTCCAGACTGCTGCAGCTGGTGAGGGGGCAGGGCCAGCCTTCATCTCTTCAGATCCGCCTTTCTCCACAGGACATGAATACATGATCCCCCCTCCCCTCTCTCACCATACTCCCCTATATATTTGCTCACCTTAACAGCGCTGGACTGTTGCAGGGCAGGCCCAGGAGGTGCTATCTCCTCGCTACCCTGGGCAAGTCACCCAGAGTCAGGCGTGTGAGTCTCCTTCCCTCCATCAGTCTTAATGGTCTTAATGATGCTGGGTCGGGTCCCCATGTAGTAAATATTTAATTTTGGTCTTTAAGTAACTCATTACAGATCTTTTAAAAGTTCTTAATTGATCAAGTTAGAGGTTTTTTCCATTCCCTATTCTGTTTGCCTCAGTAACTAGCATCAAGTGTAACTGTAGAGTTTTATATCTTATTACTATTGATGTGATAAAGATTTTTACATTAACTTTCTACATTGGATTGATTACCATATATTTCTGCACAGTGAGTGCTTCGTTTCCTTGATGCTTGACAAATGTTTAGTGTATTTTTAGCTTTATAGAACAAAGCTAAGAACTGTATAGAATGTGTTTTGTATCTGGTCAAAGTGAGACCATGATCTGCTTTATCATGATCCTAATTAATTCCACCCAAAGCATTGCTTTATGTGGGAGCGTATCTTACCTTGCTTTTTTCCCCTAATGCCTAGCCACTTAGGGATCAAGTAATTCATCAGATTCAGAGGTGTGGACTATATTAGAAAAGTCAACACTCACTTCTAGCAGTGACTCTGAAAATGAATCACCTGCAGGGATTTTAGACATGCCAGATTGCCCCTGTCTCTGCGCTTGCCCTGGGACTCTGTGCTCCCCATGGTTGCCAGTCACCATGGGAAGAAATTCCTGCTGCCGGTGTGAGAACCCATGACCCTCATGGGAGGTGGGGGAAAGGAAGGGTGCCATCACCCGAATTACTTGTGAGCATCCTAACAACTGAGCACTTTAGTGGTTAAAGCAAAACTGTGACTTTCTAAGATTATGGTGGCACTAAAAATGTTTCATCAAAGTATGCTGTTTAACTGAAGCATAATATAATCATTTAAAATACCAAAATTGATTTAAAAGGGGAGTATTTGAAGTTACATATGGGAGGCAGGATGCTCTCTGTTGAAACATTGCCATTTTGAATCAAGAGTCATTTCAGGGACCACCTGGCCTGCTCCCATCCTAGCAAGGAAACGGAGGACTTAGACAATCAAGGGACATCATTAGTTACCAGTTAGACACCGTCTCTGAGGACTCGAGCCTGTGTCTTGCTCCTGGTTATGGTGAGAATGTTTGTCCCTAGTTGTTGAAAATCACTGATTACAATGAAGTTTATCCACTTCATAACAGTGACAGAAAATACAGGATCATCTCAGACCGATAAGTTACTTCTGCCTGTTACCTTTGTAGGTAGAACATGAGAAGTACTATGACCAGTATCACTTTGCTGGAGAGCAGAGAAGAATCCTGATAGACAGCTGGACTAAGAGTAGGAAAGACTTTATACAGAAAGCCATGCTGACCCTCCTTGAGGCCTGTGCAGCCCATGAAATGGAGAGCATGTTGGCCAAGGACAGAAAACGACAGCAGGAACTGTGTGCTGATTTGAAAGCCAAGGTAAGATGCTTTAATGGGTGCTTTGATACCAGGTGTACACTAAGAATCTACCAATGCCATCTGATGGTGGGACACACCTTTAATCCCAGCATTTGGGAGGCAGAGGCAGGCGGATTTCTGAGTTGAGGCCAGCCTGGCCTAAATAGTGAGTTCAAAGACAGCCAAGGCTACACAGAGAAACCATGTCTCAAAAACCAAAAATGAAAACTAAATCAACAAACAAAAAAGTCTACCACTGTTCAAATTCTACCTGAAACTCACTCTCTGGAAAGCGCATCTTGATGTAAACTGTTGTTTTGAACAGTAAGATACTGCAGTTCATTCAGGTAAAAAAAAGTGGCCAGCAATTTCATAGAGCTGAACCTAAGGTTACTGTAACAGGGTATTAGTACTGGAATTTTGATGGTGACGTCTAACACGTGCCATAGGTGTTGTCAGGTTGTGGCTAGATAGAACTGTCTGACACTGAGCCAAACTCCATTCACACAGAAGAGCTGAAAAGGCCAAGAAGATTCATATGGAACATGCGGGAACAAGCTTGGTGGTCCTGTGTGGCCCTCAGCAAAGGTGTGAGGGTGTAGATGGGGCTTTGTTCCTCCTCTGACCCAGAGAGGGGGCTTTGGTATGCTTGGAGAGCTTGTGGCTGGAAGGATGGAGTGTGCTTGTCTCCTGCACACAGGTAAATACAGAGATGCCGTCTCGGGTGAGAATGGAAGGCATGTTCTGCTGAAGTATCTGCACACTCCTTTGCAGTCACAGGGACTGTTAAACAAACTGTGTTCGCGTGCAACAAGATGTAGTCATCTTGTTTACTGCTAAGTAATATAGGAGGGCACAATAAGAAATTTTATTCTCTTAATGGAAAAACCCCTGGCAGATATTATAGCATAGTGTTAATATATCTAAAAACAAATGCCTGTTTGAAAACATTAGAGGAAACATGCTTGCTTGACATTTTTTTTAGTGGGAAGATTTCCTTTTCACATTGCGGAAGTTTGGAACCTAAAAAGATAGAAGTTGTCTCTTCTAGGCTGATCTACCTCAGGCTATGGAGCCGCCATGTGTTTCTCATCCTGGGAGGCTGATAGGGAACACAGGCTCAGGGGCTGGGGAAAGTCCTTGCACTCCTAGGCCGCCTCTGTTCTCGTTGTGAGCTTTGCTGTTAGCCCTTGTGCTGTGCTGGGAGTGGTGTGCTGCTCTGAGGTAACTGTGCAGCCAAGCTCTTTGGTGAACTATGGAATGACATTTACTTATTATACTCCATGTAAACATTGAATATGACACAGCATATATAAAACAAATTTCTGTGGCTCAGAGGCTTGCTCATGGCTCTTTTTAGTCAAGGCTGCTCCCTTACCCCCTCTTCTGACTTCATCTCTGTGAACATATTTTGTCTACTACAGTGGTCTGATGCACATCAAACCGTTGAGGATTCAGCCTTTACACTTCTTATGCTCATCATGCCTGTTTGTTTCATGCTGGAATAATTTGCTCTTTTTAGTGTTGTATAGTATTTCATTTTACACACATACAGTTTATTTATATGGTTTTCTGATTTTTGCTATTTTGCCTTCCTGAACAGACGTGCTGATTTCTGTTAGGTCTGTGAGAGCAGAATGGGTAAATCACAAGGTTTCAGTGGATGTAGCTCGAGTAAACATTGCTAAAATGGTTTTCCCAAAGTGGTTTTCATTCACGTCATGTTTTCACCAGCATTGGCTCTGCCAGTCTCAAGTTCAGTCTGGCAAATGAGGACCTCACTGTGGCTTTCACATACATTTAACATAAGGACAGAGCCCTATGCTCACTGCCAGTGAACCTTCCACTCAAGTCTTACCCGTTTCTCTCATAGATCCCTTGCTTTTCTGTTCCTCATTGTACGCTCTCTACGTTTCTCTATATACATTCTGTCTCTCTCTATTTTCTCCCAATCCACTGCTTGTCTCTGGACTCTTCTAGAAAGATGAGAAAAACAGTTAATGGTATTTTGTCTCAGCAAATCTTTCCTTTTTTTAAAAAAAATTAATTTAAATTAGAAACAAACCTGCTTCATATGTCAATCCCAGCTCTCTCTCCCTCCCCTTCTCTCCTGCTCCCCAACAGCCCCCTATCCCATGTCCCCTCCACTCCCCAGGGAGGATGAGGCACTCCATGGGGGTCCCCAAAGTCTGTCATATCATCCCAGGCAGGGCCCAGGCCTTCTCCCATGTGTCCAGGCCTAGAGCACATCCCTCCATGTGGAATGGGCTCCCAAAGTCCATTTGTATGCCAGGGATAAATGCTGATTCACCACCAGAGGCCCCATGGATTGCCGAGGCCTCCTCACTGACACCCACATTCCAGGGGTCTGGATCAGTCCCATGCTGGCCTTTCAACCATCAGTTTGGGGTCCATGAGTTCCCCCTTGTTCAGGTCAGCTGCTTCTGTGGGCTTCACCAGCCTGGTCTTGACCCCCTTGCCCATCACTCCTCCCTCTCTGCAACTGGGGTCCAGGAGTTCACTTCAGTGTTTAGCTGTGGGTGTCTGCCTCTGCTTCCATCAGTCACTGGATGAAGGCTCTAGGATGGTGTATAAGGTAGTCATCAATCTCATTATAGGGGAATGGCATTTAAGGTAGTCTCGCCACTATTGCTTAGAATGCCAGTTGTGTCATCCTTGTAGATCTCTAGTTCTTTGCTTTTTATCCCCGTTGCAGATGCCTGTTCAGTTGTGTTAGTCCTTTTGTAGCTGTTGGGATTTTGTTTATTGTGTGGAAGGGAGCTTTAGGCTTTCCGGTGACACTCTTAGCTCTCACCTCCCCTGTGCTAGGTTGTCACTAGACACTGGACACAGTACCCATAGGGAAGGGCCACTCTGCCTTCCTCATTAATCTATAGTCCCTGGACCTTGGGGCTCAGCCTCCAGTGATCCTGAGGACATTTTCCCCATGGCAAACTGCCTGGTGCCTTTAATGGCTCTTGAGAGGGAGATACTTTCTTGTCATGCCCAGAAGAAGATCTTTTCCTGTTCTTTCCAGCTCCAAGGGGTCTGTGGGCATGCTGCTGTTCCCTACGTATCTGTAATAAGCCCCTCCATCTTCAGGTGCTCCCTTGCACTCCTGACTGCCATCAGAGGCTTCTCTGAGACCAGTGTAGCAGAGAGCAGGCACAAATTCAACTGCCTGTCGCTTCTGCTGGCTCTAGGCTTTCATGCTCTGCTAAATCATCAAAATGTGAAAATCATTAAAATTTATCAGTTCATTACAGATGCTGCCTTCCTGCTCCCACATACAGTGGCCTCACCTTCCCCAGGTGCTCTGCCACAGGTGAGCCACCTCTCCAGTTACCTGTCCTAGGGGCCTCTGTCCTAACTGAATTATTGTCCTGTGGTCAATAATTTGTAAAAAATTCTGTTGTGGGTGAATCAGCTTTTAAATTTTTCGCTGTCCAAGTAAGAGTGACATTCTTTTCAACTGTCTATACCTAGAAGCTGGAAGATCCTAATGAAATACTACTCATCAATTTTTTATGTGCCGTAGTTAGAGGGTTGGCGGTTGCACGAGGTCATTGTCAAGGGTAGGCTGCCTGGGCAGGATTTTTGTGCCTACCTGGGTCCCCACTGAAGGGGAATGGAACCCCAAAACTAAGGTGGAATGACAGTAAGTGGCAACCTGATAGGCTAGTTCGATGAAAATGTGCATGGCCCAGTAGGGACATTTTTCTAGGGACAGTCCAGCTAGCAATCAAGGCTAGGGCAGCAAGAGTCAGCATTAGCCCCTGGCTGAGTTTAGTTATGACATGTCAGTGACATCAAGGCAGCGCTCGTCCCTCCTTGTCTTGCCTTCCCTCTTCCTTTGCCTTCTTGTGGAGGTCAAAGTTTCCAGGCAATGGAAAGAAAAATCATTTCATGATCATGGAGGAAAGGATCCTGGTCTACCAGACTGGACTCTGACTTCAGAGAGTGTGCTTTATGCCTGATCTCCGGAACTGGACACTGACTTCAGAGTGTTTTATGGCTTACAGCGCCTATTCTGATGAATTCGGATCTGGTGATGGGAAGAATGGGGGCTCTGCCAGTCACAAAATGGGGCTTATAAGTCATAAAGTGCTGCTTTGGTTATTTCCCTCACGTCACACTGTTCATGTCATCAGTGTACTGAGTGCTGACTGCTCTCTGAACAGTCTTTCCGACAGTCTGCTCAGTCTCGAACTTCAGCTCTGTGTTAAGGTGACGCTGCAGCGCCTGGCTGACTAGGAGACAGTACAGGCGTAGTCTCCCTGAAGGTATGTGACCACACAAGCCTACCAGGGTTGGAGCTGGTTGATGTATCACCAACAGTTTGTGTGCTGGGAATTTCCAGAGGTAGAAGACCCCTTTGGATGTGGGCAGTGGTTAGGTCATGGGAACGCTACCAGGGGAGGGACTGACTCGGTTTGCACAGTGTTGATTCGCTCTTCTGAGAAGGTGATGTTTAAAGCAAGCACGTGCCCTCCCGAATGAAGGCAGCTCTCTTTCTGCTTCTTCACCGTGAGTGAAGCCACCAGAAGCCTCACTAGGGAACCAGCACCATGCTACTTGGACCCTCTAGCCATTGTAATTGTGAAATAAACAAAATTCTTTAGGAGTTATTTAACCTCAGGTGTTTTTGTTATACCACAGAAAACAGGCAAGGGCTAATGAATGCACCAACGGGTAAGTGGGGATAAAAAGTAGAGAAATTGGAGCACAAAATTGTGGTGAAGTAGATTTTATTGTCCTGCAGATATAGTGTTATCATTAGACTTTGCATTCCTAATGAGGGATGAAGACTCAGTAAATAGCTGGGATGAAAATATATTTTGAAAGGAAAGAGATAAATCTGTACTTTGTACAGTAATTTACAATGTTCAATTATGCTTACAATTTTTGACATGGACGAAACCATGAGATTTATTCCTCCACCATCAGTTTCCAAGGCTGAAAGCTGAGTCCAGAGAGATAAAAGGACTGCCTAAGGTTCACACTAGCTCATTCAGCTTGAA